TATTTACATGGAGATTCATAATTTTAAGGTTATGGTTGGGGGTCAGCACAGCATGACGAACTGTATTAAGGGGTCGCGGCATTAGGAAGGTTGAGAACCACTGGTTTAGACAGATGGGAGCAAATGGGGTGAACAAGAGCAAGGAGGAAGAATCAGCAGAGCATAGGGTTTGTGTGTTGTAGTAGGCTTCAGGGAGACCAGGACTCAAATTTCTGCTTATCTATGGAAAAGCATATTGTCTCAGCCTCAGAGGAGGGCTATTGCAAACCTCCACTGAATAAATTTTGCCAAGAAAACCATAGGATAGGGTCACTCCAGGGATGCGATCATAAGCACGGTTCTGAACCCCACCAATGATAGAATTGGTCCAAACTTCCCACACAGAACCCCCCATGATCAACAGAAAATACTGTGTTTTCCAATAGTCTTTGGTGACCCTTCTGATTCCCTGTCACAACCTCCCCAGTGGTCCCGACCCCAGATTGAGAAATGCTGTTCTCTCCTGACGTTTCGTCTGCATCTGTGGCAGGCATCCTCAGAGGTTGTGCCATTTTGCCAGGTTGTCTTTTGATCTGCCCACTCTGCTCCTGTGTCTGTTCAAGGACTTCTAAGTTGCCCATTTTTGTTTTGAATTGACTTGAAGGCACACAACAACAATAATACAGAGCAAGGAATATTAAATGGGGGATTCTAATCTGTTTTAATGTTTATATGATCTGCTTTTTTAAAGAAAAAATATACTTAACATGCTTGTCATTTTCATCATTCTGGTCAGAGTTGAAACAATAGGATAAAAGGAGTGGATGGGAGGAAGAGCAGGCTGGTTGACGGAAAGGATGCAAACATTCGAAATACACGCTCTTTTTCCAGCACCCAAAGACATTAATCCCATGGCAAAGCAGCTCACTCGGCGCACCCCACCCTGTCCCCCAAATTCATTCAGCCAGCCTGAAAGGCCGGGATTACGGCTCCCATTGTCCACGACCACTGAGGCTTGTAACACACATCCCAGGATGCACTGGGAAGTGCTGAGTTCAGCAAAATGGAGTCAAATGGGAAGGGAGGGAGTTGATTCCTGACATTCCTAGTTCACCCAAAGGCTGGTCATCAGGGGAGGGGTCTTTGGCGAAAGAAGGGGGTCAGCAGGGAGAAAACGGAGGAAAGAGTTTGTGGAGAGGGTTACGGACAAAGCAGGCAGCACAAAGAGGGCCATGAATGCGGAAGACAAGTGGAAAAAGAAAGAGTGCAGAAGGGTAGTGGTGGAAGGAAAATGAGAAGACCCTGAAGAAGCAACTGAGAAGAAGCAGAAAGAGCAAAAAAACGGTTGGAGGAAGAGACAGTGGAAGGGAGAAGCTCCTCCAAAGAAGGGATAGGGGACGATGGGTTGGAGGGCAATTTGGGATGAGATTTGAAAGGACAGCAAGGGAAGCAGGCAGGGGACAGAAAGATGCAATGAAGCAGGAGACCAGCTCTTAAAGCATCTGAAGAAGAATTTGGAATAGGTAGAAGGAGAAGTGGGGAGGGCTTTCAAGGAATCAGTGTGAAGCTTTCACTGAGGCCCAAGTGCAGATGCATTCTCTGAAAGTGTGGTACACTTGTATGAGAGCAACGATGGATCAGTGAAAGGATTTGTTGTCCAAGCAGGCTAGCTGCTTCAAAGGCATTCCCCTCCTCAGGTTGGGGTGATATCAAGGGTTGTCCTTGCCTTGCTGGCATGCCAGGCTGGCCCCCACCCCTGCTACTCTGGCCACTGCTGCCTCCTTGCCATCCCAACGCCGGGATGGTGGTCCAAAGAGGCTACACCATCCTCATCGTCCCACTGGGCACGGCCCTCAGCAGTCTGGAGGCACTGCAGTTCTTCTTATGGGTGAGTGATGGCAGGGCAAGGCGTTCTTTGGTTTGGTTGTTGTAGGTTTTTCGGGCTATATGGCCATGTTCATAGCTGTTCAACTCTTTTGTATGTTCTTCTCCTTTAGTAAAGGTTTTCTTCTCACATTAAGTCCAGTCATGTCCGACTCTGGGGTGTGTTGCTCATCTCCACTTCTAAGCCAAAGAGCCAGCATTGTCCGCATACACCTCCAAGGTCATGTGGCCAGCGTGACTGCATGGAGCGCCGTTACCTTCCCGCCGGAGCGGTACCTATTGATCTACTCACATTTGCATGTTTTCAAACTGCTAGGTTGGCAGAAGCTGGGGCTGACAGTGGAAGCTTACGCTGCTCCCCGGATTTGAACCTGTGACTTTTCAGTCAACAAGTTTAGCAGCTCAGTGGTTTAACCCACTGCGCCACCAAGGGCTCCGTCTTCTCCTTTACTCCCAGTATATTTTACCTGTAACCTATTCTTAGGTTGACCTCTATATCAGGCATGGGCAAACTTGGGCCCTCCAGGTGTTTTGGACTTCAACTCCCACAATTCCAGTAGGATGTTAGGAATTGTAGGAGTTGACATCCATAACTCCTGGAGGGCCCAAGTTTGCCCTTGCCTTGTCTACGCAGTCATTTTCCTCCAGCCATGCTGGCACACTTAGCGATTTCTGGGTATTGAGCAGCTTTCTAGGAATCTTTGACTTCTCCAGTGTGATTTCAGTGGAAGTCATGCTGGAAAACCTAGAAATCCCTAGAGAGGTGTTATCTCACATAAATAGTGTTTTCCTTTTGTTGTTTATGCATTCAGTGTTTTCCTTATTCATGGTTTTTCACTGTCATAGGAGTCCTATGTCCCTAACCCCAGTTAATGTGAAGGCTTGACTATAATTGCATTATTGTGCTGGTTTTTCTAGAGACCTTATGCATTAAAATTAAGTAGTCTGTTGGTTTATGGGGAACCCCTAGTGGTGCAGCAGGTTAAATTGCTGAGCCATAACTTGCTGACCGAAAGGCCAGTGGTTTGAATCCAGTGAGCAGGGTGAGCTCCCGCTGTTAGCCCCAGCTTCTGCCAACCTAGCAGTTCAAAAACATGCATATGTGTGTAGATCAATAGGTACCACTTCTTTGGGAAGGTAAAGGCATTCCATGCAGACATGCCAGCCACATGACCTTGGAGGTCTACAGACAACGCTGGATCTTTGGCTTAGAAATAGAGATGAGCACCACCTCCCAGAGTCAGCCATGACTAGACTTAATGTCAGGAGACACTTTTACCATTACTACTGTATCGGGTTATGGAGCAATTTCTGTGTCTAGACCAAATCTCTTGTCCTTGGTGCTCTGTCCTGTATGCACACCTGCCTTCAAGTTGACTATCGATGTATGGTGACCCCATTAATTAAATAAAATTCCCTTAGGCAAGGAATATGCAGAGGTGGTTTTACCAATCCCTTCCTCTAAAGTGTATTTTTATTCTATCCAAGTACTAACCAGTGCTGATCCTGTTTAACTTCCATGATCAAATGGGATGAGGTGCCCCACCTTTTTCTTTCTGTGCTTATCTCCAATATGCTTTGATTGTGCTTTTCCTTCATGGCAGAAACAGGGCTGGATGGCCCATGTGGCCTTTTCCAACTTTATGATTCTACAATTCTATCCATTTGATTTATAAAATGCCTGTAAATCCAACCACACTCTGCTGTCTAAAATCCTGCTTCCATCTGTCCTTTCTCTCTTCTTTTCCTTCCTTCAAAACTCTCCTTAAAATGTATCTTTTTGTTTTCTTGTAAAACATTTGGATTAAACTACATTGTTATCCAAACGTTACAATGCTAGAAAGTGTTTCCTTGATCTTTCAAAGCAATTTCTGGTCATATAATCTTTCTTTATCTTTTTTTCACTCCCATCTCCCCACTTTCTGTGTTTTATATCCTTGTCCATTCATGTTAATACTATAATATTAGCTGCCTTGAGCCCCTTCTGGGAGATGGTGGCGGGATAATAATAATAATAATAATAATAATAATAATAATAACAACAACAACATGGATTGTCGACGTTGCAATCCCAGGTGACAGCAGGATTGAAGAGAAACAACTGGAAAAGCTGACACAACATGAGGATTTAAAGATTGAACTGCAAAGACTGTGACACAAGCCAGTAAAGGTGGTCCCAGTGGTGATCGGCACACTGGGTGCAGTGCCTAAAGACCTTGGCCTGCACTTGAACACAATCGGTGCTGACAAGATTACCATCTGCCAGCTGCAAAAGGCATTATTCGCCGATACATCGCACAGTCCTAGACACTTGGGAAGTGTCTGACATGTGATCCAATACAACAGCCAGCAGAGTGTCTGCTGTGGACTCATCTTGTGGTGTTTCAAATAATAATAATAATAATCATCATCATCATCATCATCATCATCATCATCATCTATATCCCAGCAATACACATATTATACAATTTGTGAAATGAGTAATTTCCCAATATGAGCCTTTTACAGGTGTCTGGGGCCGTAGTGGCGCCACGGGTTAAACTGCTGAGCTGCGGAACTTGATGACCGATAGGTCAGTGGTTCAAATCCACAGAGTGGGTTCAACTCCCATCATTAGCCCCAGCTTCTGCCAACATAGTAGTTCAAAAACATGCAAAATGTGAGTAGATCAATAAGTACTGCTCTGGCGGGAAGGTAACAGCTCTCCTTTCAGTCATGCTGATCACATGACCTAGGAGGTTTCTACAGACAATGCCGGCTCCTTGGCTTAGTGATGAAGATGAGCACCAGCCCCCAGAGTCAGACTCGACTAGGCTTAATGTCAAGGGAAACCTTTACCTTTACAGGTGTCTAATACAAGCCCTTTTAAGGTTTCTTTTAAAGGTGTCCAACACAATCCTTTTAAAGGTGTTCCAGTCCTTGAAGTGACTGGAATTACCTTGAAGGAGCCGACAGGGAGCTCTGGCGTGGACTGGTCCATGAGGTCACGAAGAGTCGGACACAACTGAACGAATGAACAACAACAACTGTCATGAAGGCCAGTTCATTACACAACAGTGCAGTGCCAAGCTCCCTCCACTGTATAAAGCAAAACTTATGGTGAAAAATCCTATTTCTGTCCCTTTTCTGTTTTGCAGCTGAAACGAATGCAAGAGCTGGAGAGGGAGCGGGATGCCTTGTTGCATGGCTTGGAAATGGTGGATCGGGTGCGGGACTGGTTTCAGCACCATCTGCTGGAGGCTCAGAGGCGCCAGAAGCACATGGGAGCAGAGGCAGTAAGTAACAGCACTTCAATATTTAGCACACAATGCACCGACAGGGTGCTATCACACTGTATTGTTATAGCAGTATGATTCCACTTGAAACCTCATGGCAACATGGTTTGGAATTCTAATATATGTAGTTCAGGGAAACGTATGTATAACTCTCAGCTAGACCACTCTTGGTGTTCTCCAACCTACAAAACACAGCGGTCCACAGGATGTTGCCATGGCAATTAAAGTGGAATAATAGCACCATAATAGTGTAGTATAATAGGACTTTTAGGCACCATCTACATTGTATTGTCGAAGGCTTTCATGTCCGGAATCACTGGGTTGTTGTAGATTTTTCGGGCTGTATGGTCATGTTCTGGAAGCATTCTCTCCTGACATTTCACCTGCATCTGTGGCAAGCATCCTCACAACCTCTGAGGATGCTTGCCACAGATGCAGGTGAAATGTCAGGAGAGAATGCTTCTAGAACATGGCCATACAGCCCGAAAAACCTACAACAACCCAGCCATCTACATTGCCATACAATACAGTTTGAAACTGCATTATGTGGTCATTGTAGACCAGACATAGGCAAACTTCAGCCTTCCAGGTGTTTTGGACTTCAGCTCCCACAATTCCTAACAGCCGGTTGAAGTCCAAAACACCTGGAGGGATGAAGTTTACCCAAGCCTACCCTTTATCATTTTATCAAAAAGGATGCCACCATTCATTCTTTTTCTGGTATGCATGCAGGATCCAGACTTTTATAGATACCAAGGATCTACACACTAAGTGCATATAATGTTCCATATAGTGTAAATATCCTAAGAGGATTAAGTTGAAAAGTCATTTTTTAAAAAAAGAACTTTCCTTTGGGGATTGCAATATGTGGAATGCAACCGGATCTCAAGTGCTGACCTTTGCATGTGTGTTTGTTCCTTTGTCTGCCATGTCTGCAGAACTATTTCTCCGACCCGTACTCCACCCAGAGTTGCCTCCTGCTGGCCAGGATCCAGGAAGTGAACCTGTGCTTGAAAAACCTGCTCACTTCTCCCGGAAAGGTCAGGAGGGCTAAAGGGAAAGGGGCCCAAGGTTGCACTACTCTGAGGCAAACTGGTGACCGAAAAGGAAAGGATATTTTTCTGCGTGCACGTCCACCTTTGTGGACTTCATACACATAGGCAGCCACGGTGCATCTCAGCTTCAGCCACCAGTCCTGTTCAAATTACATCACCCATGATGCCATAATATGTTGCTATGGCCGTCCAAATGCTATCAAACTGCATTAATTCTATTGTGTAGATGCACCTTCAGCTTCAAAGAGAGGCAATGTCAACACCCCTCTGAGTAAATCTTAGAATCATAGGTAAAAGTAAAGGTTTTCCCCTGACATTAAGTCCAGGTGTGTCCAACTCTGGGGTGGTGCTCATCTCCATTTCTAAGCTGAAGAGCCGGCATTGTCCATAGACACCTCCAAGGTCATGTGGCCAGCATGACTGCATGGAGTGCCATTACCTTCCCACCAAAGCGGTACCTATTGATCTACTCACATTTGCATGTTTTTGAACTGCTAGGTTGGCAGAAGCTGGGGCTAACAGTGGGAGCTCACCCGCTCCTCAGATTTGAACCTACGACCTTTCGGTCTGCAAGTTCAGCAACTCAGCGCTTTAACCCACTGTGCAATCCTGTGAGTTGGAAGAGACCTCATGGGCCATCCAATTGAACCCCATTCTACCAAAGAAGCAGGAAAATCACATTCAAAGCCCTCCTGACAGATAGCCATCCAGCCTCTACTTAAAAGCCTCCAAAGAAGGAACCTCTACCACACTCCAGGGCAGAGAGTTCCACTGCTGAACAGTTCTCAAAGTTAGGAGAGAAAACCTCACAATGGAGTAATCTTAGGGTTACCATAAGGGTTGCCATAAGCTGGAAACAACATGAAGGTACACAACAATATTAATTTATATCTATGTATAGAGATTCAAATCAAAATGTTGGACATACCAGTGGAACAAGGAAGACTGATCAAATGAACTAAGTGCCTTCTTGGCATTACTATCTAGCCAGGCAGTGTCAAGGCAATGGGATTTTGGCCTGCATCAATAGGAGTATAGTGTCTAGATCCAGGGAAGTCATGCTACCCCTTTATTCTGCCTTGATCAGACCAATTATGTCCAATTCTGGGCACCACAATTGAAGAGAGACATTGACAAGCTGGAATGTGTCCAGAGGAGGGCAACTAAAATGATCAAGGGTCTGGAGAACAAGCCCTATGAGGAGTGGCTTAAAGAGCTGGGCATGTTTAGCCTGAAGAAGAGAAGGCTGAGAGGAGACATGATAGTCATGTATAAGTATGTGAGAGGAAGTCATAGGGAGGAAGCAAGCTTGTTTTCTGCTGCCCTGGAGACTAGGATGCGGAACAATGGCTTCAAACTACAAGAAAGGAGATTCCATGAACATTAGGAAGAACTTCCTGACTGTGAGAGCTGTTCAGCAGTGGAACTCTCTGCCCCAGAGTGTGGTGGAGGCTCCTTCTTTGGAAGCTTTTGAGCAGAGGCTGGGTAGCCATCTGTCAGGGGTGCTTTGAATGCAACATTCCTGCTTCTTGGAAGCGGGTTGGACCGGATGGCCCACAAGGTCTCTTCCAGCTCTATGATTTTATCATTCATGCAGTTCATGTATTTTGTCCTCTTTTCCAGCCTGATGCTCCATCCAGTGGTTTGGGGGTTTATCCACCAGGAAAAAAGGAATTTCACCAGCAAGCAGTCACTGTCCTCAAGGAACAAAATCACCTGCTTATCAAGGTAATAAGAGACAGAAGGTGTTACATATATATATACAGACAAACACAGAGAGATTTTTAAACAATGTCTTTGTTAAACATAAAATACAAAATATTTTTGTAAGACCACAGATAATATATAGGAACAAACTACATAATAAAGCCTCAAGCACAAAAAGTAAGACTACACACTAGAAACTAAAACGAAGAGCCGTGGTGACGCAATGGGTTAAACCCTTGTGCTGGCTGAACTGCTGACCTGAAGGTTGACGGTTGGAATTCGAGAGACAGGGTACGCTCCCATCTGTCAGCTCCACCATCTCATGCGGGGGCATGAGAGAAGTTTCTCACAGGGTGGTAAAACATCTGGGTGTCCACTGGGCAATATCCTTGCCAACGGCCAATTCTCTCACACCAGAAGTGACTTGCAGTTTCTCAAGTCGCTTCTGACATGACTAAAAAACAAAACACAAACTAGAAACTAAAAGACAAAAATAGGGGAAAGATAAAGCATGGCTTCCAAATAATCCGTTAATGGTGATTGATCCCATTTTACTATTTATTATTATTATTATTATTATTATTATATTTATTTATTGATACTCCATTTTTCTCTTAGCAGACACTCAGAAGGCCATGCAATTACAATCATACAAAATTAAGTATTAAAATGATAATAAACTTGTAGAAGCATTCTACTATATCAGTAAAATACAAGGGTGCATTTACATTGCACAAGGGATACAGTTTGACACCAGTTTAATTGCCATGGCTCAGAGCTATGGAATCCTGGGATTTGTAGTGTGGTGAGGCACTCTTTGGAAGAGAAACAACAGACCTTATGAAACTACAACTCTCAGGATACTATTGCTTTGGGCCCTGGCAGTTAAAATTGTGTTAAACTGCAATCATTCTACATGTAGATGCTCCCTAGGTTTCCAGCAAGTTTCACTCTCCTTGTGTGTGAGTAAGGTCAAGGAGGGCTTTCTCTGTGTGTTGTGGGAATTGCTCCTTAGTGGGAAGCTGCGCATTGTTAAAGCTGTGCTAAGTGTGCATCCCAGCACACACTCCATGCACCGTAAAAGTATCAGCACCCCTTTTGCTCTCAACAATAATAACGTGTTGGCGAAGGCTTTAATGTCTGGAATTACTGAGGTGCTGTGACTTCTCCTATCTGTATGTTCCAGAAGCATTATCTCCTGACGTTTCACACATATCGATGGCAGGCAGCCTCAGAGGTTCTGAGGTCTGTTGGAAATTAAGCAAATGAGGTTTAAAAACACTAAAATCAGGACAGTAAATAAAGAAGAACACTACAAAACCAGGGGAATTACTGACATGAAATAATCAGAGCCAGCTAACACCTCCCAACAAAGGATCCACCAGGCAGGAAGCAGCCAGGCTTTGAAGCTGCAAGGCCATTCAGTGTTAATCAAGGTGACATTCACACTTACCTCAAGCAGACAAGAATTCATTCTCCCACCCTGGACAAGGTTGGTGGTTTAAATCCAGAGAGCGGGGTGAGTTTCTGTCTGTCAGTTCAAGCTTCCCATGCAAGGGGACATGAGAGAAGCCTCCCACAGGATGGTAAAATATTTGAGTGTCCCCTGGGCAATATCCTTGCAGACAGCCAATTCTCTCACACCAGAAGTGACTTGCAGTTTCTCAAGTCACTCCTGACTTGAAAAAAAAGGCTTGAACTACATTATATGTCTACACTGACCAAATAATGCCTTCTCAAACCTCATTATATAGCCATATAGACGGGGCCCTCATTGAGGTAGATGCAGCCTTTTAAAATCTTTTCTTTGGTATTGATTGCTGTCAATAAAAGGAAAAAATGAAATCACAAGCAAAATTAAATGCATCTTCTAACCAGATAACCCTCCTTCCTGACAATCATAAAAATGAGTGAAGTTCAATGTATTTGGAAAGTTGCTTTGAAAAAAAATAATTAGCTACATTTTCAATGTTCACAAAAGTAGCACTAATTATAGTAACAATTGTTTCAAAGGAACTATCATTCACTGGCAGGAAGCAGCCAGGCTTTGAAGGTGCAAGGCCATTCAATGCTAATCAAGGTGGCTAACTGCAACATTCACAGACAAGATTTCTTTCTCCCACCCTGGACATTATTCCACAGATATATAAACCTCACTTGCTTAGTTTCCAACAGACCTCACAACCTCTGAGGATGCGTGCCATAGATATGAGCAAAACATCAGGAGACAATGCTTTTGGAAATGGCCTGGAAAACTCACACCAATCCAGAATAATGATGATTATGTCCTAATTCTTGGTGTCTGCTTGGCTAACAGGAAGTCTCTGAGAAAAGCGACCGCATTGCCCAGCTGGAGCAAGAGAAAGCAGCCCTTTACAAGCAACTGAAGGAGAGCCGGGGCTACCGACTACCAAGCCATAAAGAGTCCACCTTTATTTGACCCACTGGGTCTCTGTTCGTAGACTGTGAACAGGGTGAAATCACCTGCTTTTGTATCCTCATTGCCTGTGACATCTCCTCCTCCTCTGAGCCCAAGGCAAAGGACACATCTTTCTGGGAAACCTTTCTGGCCTGCAAAATTCATGGCATTTTCTCACCTCACTGCAGTTGTCTCTAGCAACAATTGCTCCTCTGCACAGTAGCTGATTTCTTCAATGATACCTATCAGGAAAGTGTGATTGTAGACTTAACTCGTGTCTCTCTACCCACTATGTTTGCATAGTTGCAAATTCAGCCTGGCTGATATTGCAGACAGGGATCGTGGTTAGTGTGGAAACCTGGGAGCAAAGGACCATTGCAAGTCATGGAAATGAGCAGATGGAGAAGACTTGGCTTGCAAAAGAAAGCCACACTATTTGGAACAATGGAGGGTGGGAATGGTGTTGTTTGCTGACTTCCCCAACATGGACCAACATGTTTTTATTTCAGGTGCAAGTCTGCAGGGTTTTTTTTCCTTCTTAATTTAGGTTTCTGTGCTAAAATGGATGATTTCACATTCTGTAATAAGACATCATGCAGGATTCCAAGATTCCCCCCCCCACCCCCCCCCCCCCCCCCCCCCCCCCCGCTCCCTTGTGATATCTTTTTCAAATACTGTCAGCCCTCTACATTTTGGGTTTGACTTTTGCAGATGTGATTATTTCCAGATTTGGTTAAAATGTTATCTCTGGGAAACTCTAGATCCTCCGATGCGACTTTCACAGAAATTGATCGCATGGGGAAACATGGAGTTTCTTAGGTCCCATTCACATAGTACCTTTATCCCAGGAGCTCCCCATTCAAAGTGGAGGGTGGCTAGGTGACATCAGCTGAAAACATGGGAGGAATTGGGGGAATATCCCAGTTCTGGGTAGAAGATTCGGATCTTCAAATCTCTGTATGTCCTGACACTCGGAAAATATGAGATATTTTTATGTTGGCTTGTTCTGGAATTATAAATGTCAGTCCCTTATTGCTTCTCTTGTAAAAACATGAGGAAAGTTGATTACATGGCAAAAACTTTGATAAATAGGGCTTTTTCATGTTAGAAGTGGTTTAAGAAACTGCAAGTCGCTTCTGGTGTGAGAATCGTCTGTCTGCAAGGATGTTGCCCAGGGGACACCCAGATGTTTTGATGTTTTACCATTTTGTGGGAGGCTTCTCTCATGTCCCTGCATGGGAAGCTGGAGCTGACAGAGGGAGGTCATCTGCACTCTCCCCTAGTCGAACCTCCAACCTGTCAGTCTTCAGTCCTGCTGGCACAAGGATTTAATCCATTGCACCACCGGGAGCTCCGATAAATAGGTGGATGGTGATGTTTCTCTTGCCAGGACAAAGTTTTTGCCCTGTAATCAACTTTCACTAGGTTTTTATGATAGAACTAATGATGAACTGACATTTATAAGCCAGAACAAAACTCGTATGAACAATGTGCATATTCACATCAGTGCATTAAAATAATTTGAAGCCACCAGAATTTACGGTGGACGTCTCACAGCAGACATCTTGCGGACTTCTAAATCTTGGAACAAAGCAGCAAGTCCGGACATCACAGGCACAAATCCCAGGCCGGAACCAACAGGTCTGTGTGTGGACCTGCTCTGAGATCCCGAGTTTTTTGTTTTTTGTTTTTTGTCCTACCTATTAAACCCGCAATTTGGTGCAGTCTGGAAGAGAGAGCAGATCTCCAGGAATCTCTAGATCCTCCAGTGCAATTCTCTGATTGGCTTCTGACAGAAATTAGCCATAAAGTTCTGCTGGAGAACATAGCGGTTTTTAGAGAGACAGTCTCTGAAGTTACAAAAAAAAAAGTATTTTTGTGGAAGTCCTGTGCCCCTAATACTAGTGTCTGTGGAGAGTGGAGTGTATATTCACATTCCCTTGTGTGTTGTCTTCCATATTCTCAGGTATGTCATTTTCCGTTTTCACACCAAACCCCATTGGACCTTATATCAAGACTTAGGAATGGGAATTCTCTTCTAGGCTGCTACAGTGTGTGACCTTGCCTAAAAATGTTGTGTAGCTTTTGTTGAGGTGTGTCTTAGGATCATGCCTGACTTACAGCAACTCGAAGGTGAACCTATCACAAGGTTTTCTTGACAAGATTAGTTCAGAGGAGGCTTGCCTTTGCCTTCCTCTGGAGCTGAGAGTGTATGACTTACCCAAGGCCACCTAGGGAGTTTCCATGGCCAAACAGGGATTCAAATCTTGTCTTCCAGAGTCCTAATCCAAACCTCAAACCACTATTCATAGAATCATAGAGTTGGAAGAGACTTCATGGGCCATCCATTTGAACCCCATTTTGCCAAGAAGCAGGAAAATCACATTCAAAGCACCCCCGGCAGATGGCCATCCACCCTCTGTTTATTAAAAGCCTCTAAAGAAGCAGCTTCCATTACGCTCCAGGGCAGAAAGTTCCACTGCTGAATAGCTCTCACAGTCAGGAAGTTCTTCCTAATGTTCAGATGGAATCTCCTTTCCTGTAATTTGAAGCCATTGTTCGATGTCCTAGTCACCAGGGCAGAGAAAACAACCCTGCTCCCTCCTCCCTATGACTTCCCCTCACATATTTATACATGGCCCTCATAATGTTTCCTTTCAGTCTTCTCTTCTTCAGGCTGAACATGTCCAGCTCTTTAAACCACTCCTCATAGGGCTTGTTCTCTAGACCCTTGATCATTTTAGTTGCCCTCCTCTGGACACATTCCAGCTTGTCATCTCTCTTCAATTGTGGTGCCCAGAATTGGACACAGTGTGATTCCAGGTGTGGTCTGACCAAGGCACAACTGTAGCATGACTTCCCTGTATCTAGACACTATCTTCCTATTATGCAGGTCAAAATCCCATTGGCTTTTTTTGCTGCCACATGACATTATTGGTTCCTGTTCACGAGGACTCCAAGATCTTTGTCACACATACTACTGTTGAGCCAGGTGTTCCCCATTCTCTATCTTTGCATTTTATTTTTTCTGCCTAAGTGGAGTATCTTGCATTTTTGCTGTTGAGCTTCATTTTGTTGGTTTTGGTCCATTTCTTTAATCTGTAGTATTAGCATTACTTTGCAATCATTAGTATTACTTTACATCTGAAAATCACGTCACTCCTTCTGCATGTTAAGTCAGTGAGGTCGGTACTTGTACTCTTATTCAGGAAACATCACTTGAGAAGGTGTCTCATGACTGAGCAAAAATGTGAAACCTTGTCCTCATGCTCGGTCGCTTATGGAAGCCCTGCATTCCCCATTTTTTAAAATATCTAGGACATTATGTCCATTCCAAAGACTCATTAGATTAACGTTGCATGCACACCCATGAACCCTAACAATATCATGCCTCTTCTAATTTGATTTGATGCCATCCTGCTGTTTTTCCTCTCTTTGATCTTCTCTTTTAAGTCATGGCTTCCGTATTAATCGGGCCGTTCCTGTCGTATTATTTTGAGGATCCCCAGCTGATGGAAGAGCAATAGCCATGACGATGGGAAAATGGAATGGTGCAACTCCTTTGCATTTGTGGCTCCAATTTGAAGACCAAACCTGAAGTCCATTACCATGCTACTTTGAGAGTTCCAGCTAAAATGATTAATAAGCATGCCAGAGAACTAAGACAAAAATGGTTGACTCCCTATGTGATTAGGGACATCCATGATATTTGCGTGACTGAAGCGAGGGACAAGGCAGTGCTTACTTCTGCTTCATGGACAGAACTTGGGCGAAGAGGTCAATTTTGAGCAGACATGGGCAAACTTTGGCCCTCCAAGTGTTTTGGGCTTCAACTCCCACAATTCCTAACAGCCTACAGGCTGTTAGGAATTGTAAAAGTAGAAGACCAAAACACCTGGAGGGCCAAAGTTTGCCCATGCCTGGTTTAGAGGATGGAAGGCCGAAGTGTGGCTTGCACTGCACTATCTTCAAAATGATGGGAGTTGCCTGCAGGATCTAGAGCAGTGGTTCTCAGCCTGTGGGTCCCCAGGTGTTATGGCCTACAACTCCCAGAAATTCCAGCCAGTTTACCAGCTGTTGGGATTTCTGGGAGTTGAAGGTCAAAACATCTGGGGATCCACGGATTAAGAATCACTGATCTAGAGGGATAGCTGGGCTACTCATGTTGCTCCTTGGATATCTGCTGCCTGAGCCAGTTGCTTCATAAAATCATAGAAGTGGATGAGACTCCAAAGGTCATCTAGTCCAACCCCATCCTTCCATACATGAATGCAGAATCCAAACACACCCGACAGATGGCTTCCAGGCACACTCCTAGGCAGCAGCCTACTCCACTGCCAAACAGCTCTACCTGCCAGGAGGTTGTTCCTAATGTTTCGGTGGAATCTCTTTTCCTTAACTTCCTCTTCTCCAGGCTAAACATATCCAGTTCACTGCTTCTCATAGGATTTGGTTTCCAGAGCTTTTACCATTTCATTTGCCCTCCTCTAGACACCTTCCAGTTTGTCAATATTCCTCTTAAATTGTAGAGCCCAGAACTGGACACAGTGTTATTCCAGGTGAGGACTGACCAAAGTAGAATAGAGTAGAACTATGACTTCCTTCGATCTCGACAGTATACTTCTATTAATGCAGTCTAAATTATTGTCCTTTTTAGCTGCTCCTTCCCTCATTGTTTGAGTATGATGGCCTTCCAAATGTAGCGTATTGGTGGTGGATACATAGGTGACAGTGGAGCCCTATTCTTGACCCGCATTTTCTTCCACAGTGAGGACATAGAGTACCAAGTGGAAGACAGTCCTGGACAGGGTTGATTTGACATTCCTTTCTCTTGGCTCATCTGTCCCTTTCACCCTCCATTTGTGCCTTTTCAAATTCCACAGCACTGCTGGTCACAGCTGACCTCCAGTTAGTGTTCAAGGGTCAGGGCTTCCCAGTTCTCAGTGTCTATGCCACAGTTTTGACTTTCAGCCCATCTTTAAATCTCTTTTCCCATCCACCAACATTTCATTTTCCATTTTTGAATTGGGAGTATAGTAACTGCTTTGGGAAACGGTGATTGGGCATTCGGACAATGTGGCCAGTCCAGCAGAGTTGATGGCATAGGAGCATCACTTCAATGCTGGTGGTTTGACATATGTTCACCTTTCTTCCCAAGAGATTTGCAGGATTTTTCAGAGGCAATGCTGATGGAATCGTCCCAGGAGTTACGTGTGATGTCTGTAGACAATCCATGTTTTGCAGGCGTATAGCAGGATTGCGAGGACAATAGCTTTATAAACAAGGACCTTGGTATCCCTATGGATGTCCCAGTCCTCAAACACTCTGTGCTTCATTCGGAAAAATGCTGCACTCACAGAGCTCAGATGGTGTTGTATTTCAGTGTCAATGTTGACTTTTGTGGAGAGGTGGCTGCCAAGGGAGCTGAAACGTTTTCCAACATTACACCATTAAGCTGTATTTCTGCAACATGTTCATCTTGTTGACTCCTAGATCCCTTTCAGATGTACTGTGTCACTATGTGGTTCAGCTTGCTTGTGAGATATGAAGAAAACAAATTGTGGGGAGGGCTCTTTCAATCCCTGTGCCCCTATGGGATATCTCACCAAATGTATTTTCACACTTACTTAGGATATTTAAACTTTTTCATCCAATTTTTATTTTGCCTTGCAGCTGTTCCCAAACTTATGTCCTCTAGGATGTCACCTCCCTGAAGTCCTAGTTTAGCCAACATGTAGGAAATCTAGAACTGTAGTCCAAAACATCTGGAGGACCATGTTTGGGGAGTACTGTTGCATTGGAATACCTTGTTAGAATCATAGAATCAATAGAGTTGGAAGAGTCCTCATGGGCATCCAGTCCAACCCCATTTTGCCAAGAAGCAGGAATATTGCATTCAAATCACCCCTGACAGATGGCCATCCAAGCCTCTGTTTAAAAGCTTCCAAAGAAGGAGCCTCCACCACACTCCAGGGCAGAGAGTTCCACTGCTGAACAGCTCTCACAGAAAGTTCTTCCTAATGTTCAGATGGAATCTCCTTTCTTGTAGTTTGAAGCCATTGTTCCATGTTCTAGTCTCCAGGGCAGCAGAAAACAAGCTTGCTCCCTCCTCCCTATGATTTCCTCACACATATTTATACATGGCTATCATGTCTCCTCTCAGCTGTCTCTTCTTCAGGCTAAACCTGCCCAGCTCTTTAAGCCACTCCTCATAGGGCTTGTTCCCTAGACCGTTGATCATTTGTGTTACCCTCCTCTGGACACATTCCAGCTTGTCAATATTTCCCTTCAATTGTGGTGCCCAGAATTGGACACAGTATTCCAGGTGTGGTCTAACCAAGGCAGAATACAGGGGTAGCATGACTTCCCTGGATCTAGACACTCGACTCCTATTTATGCAAGCCAAAATCTCATTGGCTTTTTTTGCCACCGGATCACATTGTGACAAGGGGAAGCCATAGCCTTGTTTTATTGATCCCGAACCCTGAAACATAGGTCTCCACATCACATATTCAGCACAACTCACTCAGCCCAGCACTTGAAACCATAGATAGATAACCATAACTTTCTTCCCTGTAAGGATGACCAGAAGGCTCCCACTGGTTCATAAGCCTCTAGCTCCCCCTGCTGGCATGAAGGATACAAACAGCCATAAGGTTAGCTTTACTACTTTTCCCTGCTTCGGTTGTACCCATCTCCTCTAACTCTCCTCTTTAATAATTTTGTATTTATTATCATACTTTTGTATTTATTGATGTTAATATATAGAAAAGGACTGAAATCATTGTGTGATTAAAGAGCAAGTGTATCTAAATGTGGTGGATTATTTAATGGATTGACCTAGTTCCCAAAGTTTCCTCATCCCCAGAAAAAAAAGAGAAAAAACAAGGTTGGAGAAAGTCCCTTACACAGTATACCCAACTTCATGGTTTGCTTGTGGTGTAGTTAATGATAAGGAGATCAGCCATTCTGCGTTGCATTGCAGTTGGATTTATTGACAACACACTACAAAAAATTATCCATCAGACAGGAATACATTATTTATCCATATAAACAGAAATTAAGTCAGTCTCGTATGGCAAAAAAACTAAACATCTGAAAATTAAAAAAATAATCTGCATCAAAATAGAGGCATCTAGATTAGTAGTCAAAAATATACAGATTAAATATAGCTGAAGGGGGCTCTAGGGAAGAGAAGGCAACCCAGCTTAAGGCCAAACTGAATGGGACAAGGGGATGTATGAATGGGTCTCCAACACCGAGACATGAGAGCAGGACTCCAACATTGGGGCATGGGATCCACAAATATGTCTCCGATAATGGGTATGGGGTCAATGAAGAGGTATCGTAACATCTTGAAGGAGTTGTGTGAAACTTCCTCATCTACTACTAACAGCACTTCCAGTTGTTATTGGGGAGAGGGTCCCCACTTTTGATGTGGGGACCTAAATGAAAAAGGGAGCCAAAATTTGGTTCCCTTGTTAAATTAACCATAACTATAAGTTGCTTACCACTTACTCTGGTGGTTGTCTGAATGCTCACACACTTTGTTGTGCAAGACTTGTGCTTAGTATAATAAAGATACAGCATGAAATCAAATTACAGGCTGCAGGGATTGGAGAGGAGAGAGAATTATTTCATTTTGATGAGAATTTACCAATATTGGCAAATTTCTGCATGCAACAGAAGTAAGCCACATGGAATTAATACAAATTGAAATGAGCAGAATGGTAAGGCTGACCTAGCCATTCATTCAGGCCCAAGATTTTGGGTGTTTACCTCTTAAAAGCCTGAGTTTGAATCATATTGATGAATTAATATTGGCATCAGTCTATTTTCCTGATAGGTCCCTCATCTTTAACAACTATACGGCAGGAACATAGAACAACATCCCCTTCATGAGAACAATAATTGTGTTGCTGTGAGTTTTCCGGGCTGTATGGCCATATTCCAGAAGCATTCTTTCCTGAAGTTTCACCCACATCTATGGCAGGCATCCTCTGAGGCTGTGAGGTCTGTTGGAAACTAGGCAAGCAAGGTTTACATATCTGTGGAATGTCTAGGTGGGAGGAAGAACTCTTGTCTGTTTGAGGCAAGTGTGAATGTTACAATTGGCCACATTGATTAGCATTGAAAAGCTTCAAAGCCTGGCTGCTTCCTGCCTTGGAGAATCCTTTGTTGGAAGGTGTTGGCTGTACCTGACTGTTTCCTGTCTGAAATTCTGCAGTGCCTTTCAGGCTCCTCAAAACCTCTGCCATAGATATGCGTGAAACATCAGAAGAGAATGCTTCTGGAGCATAGCCATACAGCCCAGAAAACGCACAGCAACACAATTATTTTCGTCACAAACATCTTTGACAACACATTGAAAATAATGGTGCCCTTCGGTTTGGCTAGTGCAGATGAAGGAGAATTTCATTTCAAGTTGTTTACGAAGAACTTACCTATCTTCATAATGGGGCTGAAAAGGAGTTATGGTTTTAAAAATATGACTATAAGAGGAAGCAAAACTAATTTCATGACCATGGCATTCATTTTTCATATGTAGCATAACTATTAAATGGTTAATTCTTATGGGAAGATATTAAGTAGTGGACTTGACCAAAGCTGGGGCCTTCTTAGTAGTAAGATAAAGGTAAAAACGTTTTCCCCTGACATTAAGTCCAGTTGTGTCCGACTCTGGGGGTTGGTGCTCATCTCCATTTCTAAGCCGAAGAGCCGGTGTTATCCATAGACACCTCCAAGGTCATGTGGCCATCATGACTGCATGGAGCGCTGTTACCTTCCCGCCAGAGTGGTACCTATTGATCTACTCACATTTGCATACTTTCGAACTGCTAGGTTGGCAGGAGCTGGGGCTGACAGCGGCAGCTCACCCCGCTCCCCGGATTCAAACCTGCGACCTTTCAATCAACAAGTTTAGCAGCTCAATGGTTTAACTCACTGCGCCACAGGGGGTTCCTTCTTAGTAGTAAATGCACAGATAATTCCTTATATACATCACTAATTCTTTGCTCCCAAATGATGAGGCAGGAGAATATTTACAAGATTCCTCCAATATTATTTTCTCTACAAAACAAAGCAAAACAGATCAAAAACATTCATCCTGCACACCAAACATCTGTGTCAGAAGAATAAATTTCAGGAGTAAATCAAAGCAGGTTGTGGAAGAAAAGGAGAAGCTATACAAGAATGGGAAGCCAAGAGAAACCTTTGAGGAAGAGGAAGGACTTTTCTCCCCAGGAGTCCATTCCTGATTGAGCAAACATCTATAAATTTAAACAGGTGTTTTCAGGAAACAGTCTTTGGACAGCAGTGTGCAAAAGATCATCAACCAAGAGAAAACATGTTGATGTTATTCACCAAGGATGAAGACTTGGACAATGTTTAAAAACTGCAGCCTTTGTAACATGACCCTCTCTGAGATGTGAGAGTTTGGAACAAAAAAAGAGGTTTCGAAGATCTTGAGGTTCACACTGCAGAGTCACAGCACTTTGATTCCACTTACCAAAGGAATCCTAGAATTTGTAGTTTGGTGAGGGACCTTTCTAAGGAATCATTCCTGAGAAAGTATCTCTCTCTATGATCCACCTCGGAGGTTAAGATGTTCTGAGCAGGCCCTGCTCTCTGTCCCACCTCTTTCGCAAGTGTCGTTGGTGAGGACGAGAGACAAGGCCTTCTCAGCAGTGGCTCCTTGGCGCTGAACTCTCTCCCAACTGAGGTTAGATCAGCGCCCTTCCTCTTAGCCTTCAGAAAGAAAACAAAGACATGGTTGTGGGACCAAGCTTTTGATCAGTGAAGTAATGCAGTGTAAAAAATAATTAGGGAATATGTGAAATTGACAATTTGGAATGGCTACAGTTTATGATTTTGGATCATGTGATTTTAGTGTTTATATTATGATATTTTAATGATATGTATTAATGTTGCTTATGTCTTATATTTAATTGATTTTAACTCATTGTTATATGTTATTGTTTAGATATTATGCATTTTTACATGTATGTATGGCATTGAATTTTGTCATTAGTATGCTGTAAACTGCTTCAGGGGTGAGAAAAGTGGTATATAAATACAGTAAAACAAATCCACTATTGGGACTCTGACAGGTAATTCTACTTACCTCAAGAAACTACTAATCCCAGGATACCATAGGCTAAAGCCATAGCAACTGAATTGTGTTGTCGAAGGCTTTCATGGCTGGAATCACAGGGTTACTGTGAGTTTTCCGGGCTGTATGGCCATGTTCCAGAATCCTCTCTTGATGTTTCACTTGCATCTATGGCAGGCATCTTCAGAATCTGAGGATGCCTGCCATAAATATGGGCAAAATGTCAGGAGAGAATGCTTCTGGAACATGGCCATACAGCCCGGAAAACTCACAGCAACCCTGTGATTCCGGTCATTAAAGCCTTCGACAACACAGAGATTGTATCCTTCCTTCTTTGAAAATAAAATGTGTTCAGGCTGCAGTCTAAGCTGTTGCTCATTAAGCAGAAATGCAATTAAGTTCACTTCATTCTACCTGCATAATAATCCTCTGCCTTTAGCACTTTGGCAAACAACGCAATTGCCAACGTGCTTATGGCAGGAAAAGAAATGAACTTCAGGTGGCAAGGTCAAAAAGCAATGCATATGCAAAGATATGCAGGAGCAGAAAGAATAAGAACAGGAGCAGACATGTTAGGGTGCAAAAGTCAATGGAGGAGAAAGCAGTTTTGGAAAGGTAAGAGCACAGATACATAGCAGTTGCAGATGTGGTTGGCAACATGGTCGTATCCTAAGGCTAATTCAGAACACAGAAGTTATAGCAGCAAGATTGTGGCTTCGGTCCCCACGCTGGTCTCGATTGTGCTCTCTCTTGAGGACAGCCATACCTCTGAGATAGTGCACATGTTTTCCATGCAGGAGTCAGTCCAGCTTCAATCCTGCCACCTCTAGCTTAAAGACTTCAAGCAACCTGTTTCTAAAAGACAGCTGATTCAGAAGTCCGATGAATCAACAATACTAATCTAGCAAGTCCAATCTTCTGCTTCAACAGAAGGCAGCTTCACAAACTCATATGAATACGAGTGCTTGATCTATGTCTTGCTCAAGACTGGATTTAAGAGAGCTTTGATCAGACAAGAGGATGGGAGGAAAGCTAGTATCCTGTTTGTTGACCAGCTGTGGATCTCAGCAAACCATGAGTGTGCCGCTCCCACAGGAGCCCAGAACTCAGGAACTGCCCTTCTATTTGCCGTCCTTCAGCTCTTTCGACGACCAAGGATCTGCATCCTCCACCTGAAGAGCTCTCCTCGTGTCATTTGACAGATGTTATCCTGAAAGCTTACAGTCCTAGACACTCAACTGCCAAGAAGACTGTCAGCAATGTCCACCACAACAAGGCTTTAGGAGGAGGTGGAGCTAGCCCGGCCTTTACCACAACCTCAGGAGGCTTGGCCACTGCTTTGTCAGGGAGAGCAAGAGGTGGGGCTGTCACCTGGCACCGATACCTTTCGCCAAGCAGGTTGGTAACCAGGAGCTTGACTTGCTGTGAGCAGCAGTCTGAGGTGTAAGTGATCAACTCCGCTGAGCCATCTGCTTGGTGAGGTACAATGGCACCTCCTTCTGCTTGCACTGAGCGAATACCAGCTTCGTCCTTGATCCGCAAGACAACTGTCCAATGCATGCTGTGACAGAGGGACTGTGACGGCCCACAGGAAGTCTCAGTGGAAGCGATTTCGCAGACTGGGGAAACGAGGATCTGTACCTGCAGGTGGAGAGTAACAAGAACATGTGAGAATATCTCTAAATGTAAAATGGTTCACCCCATGCCTTCAGAACAAGAGTTTTGGTTTCTAATCTACCTACAGCAGAGCTATGGGACTTACAAATGCTTTATTTATTATTAGGCTACTACTCTCAGGGTGATCTTTGACATAAGACTGACTGGGAACCAAAGTAATAATAATAATAAACCTTTATTTATACCCTGCTAACATCTCCCGAAGGACTCGGTGCGGCTTACAAGAGGCCGAGGCCCAACACAACAAAAAACAACAGCATAACAAATACAACAATAAATAACTCATAAAACAAGTAATAAGCATTAAAACAATAGCAATTAACATTAGACAATAACATCGTGACACATTTAAAACTAAGGCCGGGTCAATGTAATGATTAAAAATTTTAAAATGCTGGGCATGACAGGTGAAATAGATAGATTTTTGGAGATAGGTGCACTGTGCAGACAATCTTAAATCTCTAGTAAAGTGCATTTGGGACATGATGTTTGGAGTTTCCTATTCTGGGAACCAACTGAAATGAACTGAAGTCCAGCAACATCCAAAGCAGCAAAGATTTCTTGGTTTTGACCAAGAGCTATAGGTAGAATGAATATTTTTTGCCTAAAGTAATTGGAAACATAACACTGTACCCATTTTTTTCAATTTCTACATCTAGGTAAAGATAAATGTTTCCACTTGACATTAAGTCTAGTTATGTCCAACTCAGGGGTGGTGCTCATCTCCATTTCTAAGCCAAAGAGCCAGTGTTGTCTGTAGACACCTGCTAGTTCATGTTGCTGGCATGACTGCATGGAGCACCATTACCTTCCCACCGAGGCGGTATCTATTGATCTACTCACATTTTCATGTTTTCAAACTGCTAGGTTGGCAGAAGCTGGGGATAACAACGGGAGCTTACCTCGTTCCGTGGATTCAAACTGCCTACCTTTTGGTTAGCAAGTTCTGCAGCTTAGTGGTTTAACCTGCTGCACCACCATGAGCCTATCTAATCTACATCTAAGAAGTACAAAATGAGCAGAGACCAAATTCAGCCCATGATACCGAAGAGTGCCCATCTCAACACACTCTGACCAACCACATTCATCCACTGGTATTGAATTTACTGCTCCAAGTAATGGCTTGGAAGTACTTTGCTCCGGAATTAGTTTCTCAGTCATGCTTGAATGCAACACACAAACACAACTCAGGGACTGGCTCATTGTGTAGGATACAGGAAGGTGACAGTCCACATCAGACTACAGTCCTGAATAAGGCCTAACGTAGTGGGCACAAATAACACATTTCTCGTACTTTGTTCTTGTTTTCAATAATGAAAAATACAGTACAACCCCTGTAACCACAGAATTGTGCTGGAGGACCTAGCAAATTTCGAAAGAGGACATTTCTTTTCAAATGTTCTAGGTCCTCCGGTGTAACTCTATAGTAATTTCCAGCAGAAGTCATTCATTTCACTAGGGCTCATTATTATACAAGTCTCTCTGTTTTCACAAGTACAGGAATGTATCTCCCAGAGATACTGAGCTCATACTATATGTGGGTATAAGTTAACAGCTGTTAATTGTAACCATGATGACTGTTGCAGTGTAACCACAACTTTTAAGTTACTTTTACAATTAATGAGATATGGTCTCACTAAAAAGTAGAAGCGGAATGATTCACATCCCAGTTCAGACCACACCCTCTATTGGTGTTTTTAGGTTTTCTTTTTTAAGTAATAAAAAGTATGAATTATAGTTATGTCTGCAAAACAGAAGAATAAAGACTTTATTTTGAACTTCAACTACAGCAAGCAACTAATTTGGAAATGGGATTGGAACCATAACTAATTATTTTGTCAGAGTGATTTTCCAAGTTCTGAGAGATAAGACAGAGATTTCATTTGATCCCCCACCAAAACACACACACACACTGCTAGGAAGAGTGGTAACGGATCTACCCAAACATCATGCATGTTAAGTTTAAAGCATTAATTGACACATGAAAGTCAAAAACAGGTATGAAGATGGATGCTAATTTAGCTGGCTTTAACTAAAATAAAATATGAGTGCACTCACAGAGGCATAGCCTATCCATGAATATCAATTTAACAACCTTGTCTTTTGACAATCCAGAGACTAGGACACAGATTCAAACTACAGAAAATGAGATTCCACATATGTTCAAAACGTTCTTCAAGCCTCCACTAGTTGTTTGTTATGCATATAATTCATATTGCTTACTGTATTGTATATGTGTCTACTGGTATGCAGTTTTCCTTAAGTCTATGTTGTGAGAGAGGATGCAGCTCATCTGATCAGATCTGGGACTATTCAGGACTCAGACTCCATTTTAGAAACACAGTAGTCAGTAGAAACTGTACAGTTTAGAAACAGGACAGTTCAGACTCCATTGAACTTTCAGACTAGACAGATACTTATTTGTTTATTTATTTATTTGTGGTATTTATATATCACCCTTCTTATCCCTGAAGTGGACTCAGGGTGGTTCACTCTATTAGACTCTCAGACTACAGTAATGTTTTAGACCAGTAGTTCTACAACTCCCAGAAACCCCAGCCAGTTTACCAGCTGTTGGGATTTCTGGGAGTTGAAGGCCAAACCATCTGGGGACCTACAAGGTTGAGAACCACTGCTTTAGACTATGGACTGTTGACTACAATAAAGATGCCCTGTGTTATCTACAAAGAGACTCTACCTCAAATCTATCTGTAACTGGACTGATTAGCAATATACCTGTATGCTGAACACATGAAGTTTGTGAGTAAAGCAACTATGTTACTTTTAAAGAAGTTGCTTATTTTTATCTCTTGAGAGCATGATATTTAAACAAAGATATTTTAAGGGAGAGTATATGTTTTTTGGGGCAACTGAAATAACACTTCTGAAACTCTGTTATATATATGCTTTTTGTGCATTGGCATATCTTCGTCCCTAACAGTTCAAAGAGATATCTAGGGATTTCAGTCTAACAGCTGAGAAACCTAATTGCCTTGCATGAATGCTAGTGGATATTTACCACTAAGGAGAAGGTTGACTCAAGAGAGTTTTTAACTCTTCTCAGGGAAATTCCATTCCCAAATAGTTATGAATGCCATTTTCCAGAAGGCTATGGCATCATTTTCCCCAAAAACATAAACATAAGGAAGAACTTCCTTACAGGAAGAGCCATTCAATTGTGGATTATACTTCCTAAGAGCAGCAAGAAGTGTCCTCTGGAGGCTATTAAACAGGTTGGATTACCAACCATTGGGAGTGCTTTGACTGTGTCCTCCTGTATATAGGAGAGTTCATAGAATCATGGGCCATCTAGTCCAACTCCCTGCCAAGAAGCAGGAAAATTGAATTCAAAGCACCCCCAAAAGATGGCCATCCAGCCTTTGTTTAAAAGCCTCCAGAGAAGGAGCCTCCACCACACTCCAGGGCAGAGAGTTCCACTGCTGAACAGCTCTCACAGTCAGGAAGTTCTTCCTCATGTTCAGGTGGAATCTCCTTTCTTGTTGTTTAAATCCATCATTCTGCATCCTAGTCTTCAGGGCAGCAGAAAACAAGCTTGCTCTCTCCTCCCTGTGACTTCTTCTCACATATTTATACATGGCCCTCATCATGTCTCCTCTCAGCCTTCTCTTCTTCAGGCTAAACATGCCCAGCTCTTTAAGCCGCTCCTCATAGGGCTTGTTCTTCAGACCCTTTATCATTTTAATCGCCCTCCTCTGGACACATTCCAGCTTGTCATATCTCTCTTCAACTGTGGTGCCCAGAATTGGACACAATATTCCAGGTGTGGTCTGACCAAAGCAGAATAGAGGGGTAATATGACTTCCCTGGATCTCGACACTAAACTCCTATTGATGCAGGCCAAATTCACATTGGCTTTTTTGCTGCCGCACTGTTGGCTCATGTTTAACTTGTTGTCCATAAGGACTACAAGATCTTTTTCACACGTACTGCTCTCGAGCCATGTGTCCCCCATTCTGTATCTTTGCAGACTAAATGGCTTTGGGGATCTCTTTCAATCCTATGATTCCATCCAAAAATGGAATCCCCATATCAGACAAGTAGTTGTCAACAGCTATCGAAATGTTGATCAGATGATAAGACTTGTAGCAGAAGCTGGAACCAAAGCACTGGATAAGAAAAACCTCTGGCCTCCTTCTAGCAATGACATTTCCGTTCTCAAGAAGTTAACAGAGCAAGCACATCGAAGAATGAATGGTCAGAAGAACATGGTCCCAAAACACCGCCAACTGTCAGCAATCCCAACGCCCCAAACATGCCAGTAGGCACCCTTCAACATTTGTCCTTTTCCCTTCTGCAGATTTCTGGCCTCAAGACTCACCGGAGGTGGAGGCATCACAAGCAGATAGATATGAGCGAAACTAGGCTCTCCAGCTGGGTGTAGGAGGTCAGCCTGCAGGGTTACAGTGATCACAGAGCCAGGAATGGTAGCGTTGGAGACATATAGGGAGATCTGTCCTATTGCAGTTTGGTTGATGCCCAACTGTAGCCTACAGAGAAGACGAGAATGTTAACAGTGACAGTATTGACACTGGTCAAAGTCATTTTCATGGTTGGGTGGCAAGGCCCTTTGCAGGCCACCTGAAGCATTCACAAAGAAACCAAGCTTTCATTTGTTGAAAAATGTAGTCGTCCCTCCAGAACAGCAGAATCCCCCACCCCCTTCAATAAAAAGATATGGGGAAAAAACACAATTTATTTATTCTCGCTTGACAAAACACCTCTCTCTGGGAATCTCTAGGTTCTCCAGTATAAACATCCATAGGAAGCTGGCCACAGAATTACACTGCATGACCTAGATACTCCTAGAACATTGTTTTCTTGGGAATCTCTAGATCTGCATTTTTCATCCTGGGGATCAGGACTCCAGGGGTGGGGGGGTCACAAGGGGGTGTCAGTGGGGTTGCCAAAGACCATTAGAAAACATAATTTCTGATGGTCCTAGGAAGCCCTTTGGCTGAGAAGGATGAAGATCTCTCCACTTGACCTTCTCTTCCTTTTTGGAAATAGAAGGCGAATCCTCCCACCAAAAGCCCTCCACCACTGTGATTGGTTGGCCTCTCAGCTGGCCTCTCAGCCAAGGGGAGGGCTGTTTCTGAGACTCCAAGTGAGAAGAGGAGAGCAGGCATGCTTGAGAGCATGTGAGGCTGGAGGGAGGGTTGCGTCAGCGAGTACTTTCAAGGCTTATAGAATTATAGAATTATAGAATCAAAGAGTTGGAAGAGACCTCATGGGCCATCCACTCCAACCCCCTGCCAAGAAGCAGGAATATTGCATTCAAATCACCCCTGACAAATGGCCATCCAGCCTCTGTTTAAAAGCTTCCAATGAAGGAGCCTCCACCACACTCCGGGGCTTGGGGGTTCTGTGTGGGAAGTTTGTCCCAATTATATCATTAATGTGGGGTTCAGAATGCTCTTTGATTGTAGGTGAACTACAAATCCCAGCAACAACAACTCCCAAATGTCAAGGTCTATTTTTTCCAAATCCACCACTATTTTCTATTGGTCATAGGAGTTCTTTGTGCCAAGTTTGGTTCAATTCCATCGTTGATGGAATTTAGAATGCTCTTTGATTGTAAGTTAACTATAAATCCCAGCAATTACAACTCCCAAATGACAAAATCAAACCCCTAACCCCACCAGTATTCAAATTTGGGCATATCAGGTTTGTGCCAAATTTGGTCCAGTGAATGAAAATACATCCTGCAGATCAGATATTTACATTACGATTCATAACAGTAGCAAAATTACAGTTACAAAGTAGCAACAAAAATACTGCACAGTAATAAATTTATTTATTTATTGTCAATTATTTATTGTTTATCCTATTTATACTACTCCAAGATTGGCTCAAGGCAGCTTAAGCGGATGAGGGGGGAAAGGAAGGGGCTTGATGTTGTTAGGAATTGTGGAAGTCCAAAACACCTGGAGGGCCCAAGTTTGCCCATGCCCAGACTAGAGCATACCAAGACATTTAAATAAAGGACATATTCTAGAATTACCTGGACCTGGAGATGTTGACAGGAAACTGCGGGACACTGCTCACTTTCAGATGATACTTCTTGGATGAGCCAGGATTTGTCACTTTCCAAGTGATGGAGACAGGCCTCCCTGGGAACACAGGAGTGTCTCTGCTCAGCTGGAACAAACCATAGGATAGATTGCAATACTTTCAATAGAGCCAGAGTGGGAAAAGTGAGAGGCGTGAAGAGCTGTTTCAACTGCTTATTTTCATGGATTCAAGATAATTAAGCACAATAGCATATACAGGGGTGCTGACAGTAAAACATTAATGCTACAAGAAGTCCACACCACAGATCAGGGGTCCTCAAACGTTTTAAACAGAGGGCCAGGTCACAGTCCCTCAAACTGTTGGAGGGCCAGATTATAATTTGAAAAAAAAAGAATGAATTCCTATACACACTGCACGTATCTTATTTGTAGTGCAAAAACACACTTAAAAACAATACAATAATTAAAATGAAGAACAATTTTAACAAATATAAACTTAATAGTATTTCAATGGGAAGTGTGGGCCTCTTTTTTGGCTGATGAGATAGGATTGTTGTTGTTGCTGTGTGCTTTCAAGTCATTTCAGACTTAGGTTGACCCTGAGTGAGGGTCGGGTAAATTTATTTATTTATTTATTTATTATTTAAATTTATATGCCGCCACTCCCCTGGGGCTCAGAGCGGCTTACAAGCATAGCTAAAATCTAACAAAATTTAAAAGGAATTTAAAACAATTTAAAAACAACACTATCAAACATTAAAAGCCTGTCGAAACAGGTATGTCTTACATGCCCTGCGGAAAGCTGGTAAGTCCCGCAAGGCACGGACTTCAGGTGGCAGAGTATTCCAGAGTGATGGTGCCACTGCTGTGAAGGCTCTGCATCTGGTTGCTGTTAGACGCAAGGTCTTGACACTGGGGACTTCCAATAGATCTTGGTCCTCAGAACGGAGGGATCTCTGGGGTTGGTAGGGGGTGAGGCGGTCCCTCAGATACATTGGCCCCAGACCATGCAAGGCCTTAAAGGTGAGTACCATCACTTTGAAAGTGATCCGGTGCTCAATTGGTAACCAATGCAGCTGTAGTAAGATTGGGGTTATGTGGCATCTCATCAGAATTCCCGCAAGAAGCCGAGCAGCTGCATTTTGTACCAACTTGAGCTTCCGGATCACCGACACAGGAAGGCCAATGTAGAGGGCATTACAATAGTCCAATCTTGAGATGACCATGGCCTGGATCACCGTAGCTAGGTCGTCCCTGGACAGGTAGGGGGCCAGCCGTCTAGCCTGCCGCAAATGAAAGAAGGCGGTTCTGCTAACGGCGGAGACCTGGGCCTCCATCGTCAGCAGAGGGTCCAACCCAGGGGGGCCACAGTGTAACTACTGTTATACTGTTTCCAATACAAACTCCACCTCCTTCTCATCAGCTTGTCCTACCTTACCTCCAACAAGGATCCCACTATAGTAGCAGCTTGAGGAGCAGCTCTCTCCAACTTCTGGCCTTTGCCATCTACACCATGCACCACTATGGAGAAGTTGCTGCTGGTCAAGATGTTTGGAGGCAGCTCTGCCACAAAGAGGTCAGTTCTCTTGGCTCCTCCTTGTAGTTTCAGCTCCCCAAGGCTGCCAGTCCTCCCTTCCAAGTTCACCGCCTGCAGCTGAACAGAGCCTGACTCTGACTGATTCAGACCCATCGCCATAACTACTAGGTAAGTAGCCAAGCCTGTTGTGGGATAGAAAAGTGAGAGATAATTGGACTCTGAATGTCCATTCCCATTGTAAATCCTGTGCTGGGAAACAAATGGGCTATGGATAAAACCAAGCAAAAATATCCTGAGTATATCTAATTATAAGTAAAGTTTTATATACATGTTGGCACAAAATAGGAAATAAAGATTCAGATGTATGTTGATCACTTTTAGTGAGCCTGATCAAATCTATTTTTGACAATAACTGATTTCTCCTCATGGACTATACAGCTTGCTGAGTTCTATCACCTGTGCTGTGAAAGAAATTATTATTATTATTATTATTAAACTTTATTTGTACCCCGCTAGCATCTCCCGAAGGATTTGATACGGCTTACACAGGCCAAGGCCTCGACACACAACATAACAATACAATCTAAGCAAATCAAACAATTAAAAACAGAATAAAGCAAAATGAACAAGAGGCAGAAATGCTGTAACTGCAATATTATGAACCAGAAGTAATGGTTAAATACAATACCAGACCATGAGAAACATTCTCATAAACAAGTAAATTCATCAACAAGCAAACATCTTGTGCTGATCACAGAGTTCTCAAATAAAGATGGTCATGTATGCATTAGATATTGCTCGTGCACACTTTGGTAGATTCTTTGGCCAAATGTATTGCTTGCTGTCTGTTTGCCTTCCTTCTCAGTTTCAGGGCTCATTCCAGGTCCCTATTTCACTTGGGAAATACATTAGGACAGATACTTCAGTCCCACCCAACGAAATAGATCTCTGCATCCATAAAATGGCCAAGAAATACCTCACAACCTCTGAGGATGCTTGCCAAAGATGCAGGGGTAACATCAGGAGAGAATGCTTCTAGAACATGGCCACACAGCCCGAAAAACCAACAACAACCCGGCCAAGAAATAACTGCCAGAAGTTTGCAGCAAGATATCTGAACAAGAACATAACTTTTTTTCGGACTAGAGCTACAAACGCCCATAACAAGCACTGCTAGTAAAAGACTATGGGGGTGTTGTCCTAAAAAATAAAATTTCAGAACTCTGAAGGAATTATGTGAAAAAAATCAAAGACAAATGAGTAGTTTTGTGCAGAGTTTGTAAAGTTAGTGTTTAAAACTCTTGCTACAGTGGTTAGAAAGTCACTGTTACTCCGTGCTTTACTGACAAAGCTAACATGTTTGATTTCTTGTCACGTTGTTACTTTCTATTGCTTTCCCCTCAGCTCCTCCCAAATCCTCTTTAGTTGTGAGAGAATGTGTGAGGATATACAAGAATGTCATAAAAAGCGCTTTAAAATGCTTCTAAGTATGCTCTTGAAAATAATCTTTTGAGTGATACAAGAAGCTGTTATTTGTTGCATCAATATGTTGGCTTTATGCTTGTTTTGTTACTTTTGGGATGTAACTCAGCTTCCCTTATTTTGTTAGCCCCTTCCAAAATAACAAATTACAGGAACAGAAATGTAATAAATAAATAAATAAAATTCCAATTTTGGTTTTGTGTGTCTACACTGTGGAATGAATGCAGTTTGGAACCCTTTTAACTGGCAGAGATTGATAATAATAATAATAATAATAATAATAATAACAACAATAACAACAACGACAACAAGGATTTTTTTTTGTCGTGTCAGGAGCAACTTGACAAACTGCAAGTCGCTTCTGGTGTGAGAGAATTGGCTGTCTGCAAGGACGTTGCCCAGGGGACACCCGGATGATTTGATGTTTTTATCATCCTTGTGGGAGGCTTCTCTCATGTCCCCGCATGAAGAGCTGGAGCTGATAGAGGGAGCTCATCTGCCTCTCCCCGGATTCGAATCTGCAACCTGTCAGTCTTCAGTCCTGCCGGCACAAGGGTTTAACCCACTGCGCCACTGGGGGCTCCATACTCTGTTTGATCGTGTAACAGCATCACATTTGGCGTCCCCTGGGTAACATTCTTGCAGATGGCCAATTCTCTCACACCAGAAACGACTTGCAGTTTCTCAAGTCTCTCCTGACACGACAAAAAAAATCAAACAGAGCGAATCTTACAGCATGTTTCATTCAATTTCTGTATTTCTAGGTTTTAGTTGCCTAAGGGAGTTATTAATAAATAAAAAGCGAAGTTTTGAATGACCAAAGCACCAAGGGTCTCACATAGCCCTGTGAAAGAAAACACTGATCCGACAAAGCTCCCACACCTACCTTCTATAGGGTGACTATCCATCATAAACAGGCCTGGGTGGCGCCCATCCACTGGAACAGCAAAATAATATAGGAAGTCAAGGGTGCTTTGACCTGCAACCAAGGACAAATATTTGAACATTTCAAAAGGAGGCACTCTCTGGTTGCTCAGAAACTCAGAGGGGTGGCTAAGATACAATAAACAATTCTGTCCAATCTGTCCACAGCTGTTTCTCCACTGGCTTTGGAGATGCCATCTTTTGTCTATGCTCTGTCTAAACACAATCCATATGGGATCACGAACTAACCACTGCTTTCTAATACTCCAAATGCAATTGTAGCATCAGATATTTCAGATTAGCACAGCGATAAAAGGCCCTGAAGGGCAATTGATACAGGTTGAGTGTCCTAAATTCTAAATATTTGGGTCTGGTTCAGTAAAATGGAAATCCATATTCTTTTGAAGATTTTTGAAGATTTTATGATCTTTGGAAAGGCATGACCTTGTTAGAAGTCATAATCTATTGAAAAATGATGCCATAATCTCTTGGTAAAAGCATCACCCATTAGAGTGATAACCTTTTGGGGGAAATGGCATTCACCAGCATTCATGCAAGGCAACTAGGTTTCTCAGCTATTAAACTGATGTACCTAGATATGTCTTTGAACTGTTAGGGTCAAAGATATGCCAAAGCACAAACATATATATATACAGCACAGTTTCAGAAGTGTTCTTTTTAATTGCAAAAAAATCTGCTCTCCCTTAAAACCTCTTGGTTTAAATCATGCTCTCAAGAGACAAAAATAAGCAGACTCTTTTAAAAGTAATGTAAGTGGTTTACTCGCAAATTTCATGTATTAAGCCTGTAGGCACTTTGCGTATCACTCCAGTTACAAATAGATTTGAAGTAGTTTCTCTGGATAACACAGAGCATCTTTTTTGTAATCAGTAGTCCATAGTCCAAAGCCTCTTTGTTCTGAAAGTCTAATAGAGTCTCTGTCTAGTCTGAAAGTCCAATGGAGTCTCTAAGCATATTTTTCCTACTAAAGTCTGAACCATACAATTCCTACTGAAGTCTAAAAAGAACTGTTTCTACTGAAGTCTGAAGCATACAGTTCCTACTGAAGTCTAAACTGTTTCTAAAACGGAGTCTGAGTCCTGAACAAGCCCAGACCTGATTACATGGTCTATAACCCCTCCCACAAACAAAGAGTTAAGGTAAAATTGCAAACCAATATACACATATACAATACGGTAAGCAATTATATACATTAACTAGTGGAGGCTTGAGAAGGTTGCAATTTCCAACATCTAGAAATGTTTGGAATTCCTGCATTTGCATATATGTACATAATGTTCAGTAATATATAGATGTTGTTGGACAATGACTCCTATCCACCCCAGGAAGAACAGCCAGTGATCAGGGCTGGTGTTAACTATAATTCAGCATCTTAATATTTCCTGCCTCCCCCTGTTCTACAGGTACAGAAAGCAAGGTACATTTTGAATATTTCTTATCAAAAATGCTGGGTAAGAGGTGTTCCACCTGTACTTTCTCTTAGACTCTCCTCCTCTTTTCCTGTTATAATCACTTATTTTTCAATATGAATGGAACATACCTAAAATGACCTTTCATGAGTGAGTTTCTTGTTTGGGATGGCAGGTTTCCAGAGCACATTACATTTTGTTTTACAGTAAGGTAAAATAATGATTTGCCATAGTGAATTAAAACATTAAATAAAGAATTTCACTACAAACCAGTCATTAAACCCATACCCAAAGGGAACGGGAACTAAGTAATTAAAGGCCAATCCCTTAACATGATGTGCTTGCTGAAGCAAAAACTGCAAGGAGAACATATCAAATCAAAAGAGAAACTGCAAAAGGCCTAAACTGAATTGGATGTAGTGTCATACTGGGATATTAACCATGGGGACAGACATCACCAAAGACCACATTATACAATCAACCCTAAACAATTGTGAAGGTTAGGGGTCCTCCAGCACAAGTCTATGGTCAATGGCAGAAGTTTCTAGATATTTTAGATATTCCAAGAGAGAACGTTTCAATCAAATCTACAAAAGTTGTGAAACGTGGACTGTCTACAGATGTCACACTCAGTTCCTGGAATGATTCCATCAGTGTTGCCTCCAAAAAAATCCTACAAATCTCTTGGGAAGACAGGCAGACAATGTCAGCATGCTGGAAGAAGCAAAGACCACCAGCATTAAATTGATGCTCCTACGCCATCAACTCCGCTGGACTGGTCACATTGTCCAAATGCCCAAACGCCATCTCCCAAAGCAGTTACTATACTCCCAACTCAAAAATGGAAAATGTAATCGTGGACAGGAAAAGAGATTTAACGATGGGCTTAAAGCCAACCTTAAAAACTGTGGCATAGACACCGAGAACTGGGAAGCCCTGGCCCTTGAGCACTCTAACTGGAGGTCAGCTGTGACCAAAAGTGCTGCAGAATTCAAAGAGGCATGAATGAATGGAGGATGAAATGGAGAAATGTACCAAGAGGAAGGCTCATCAAGCCAACCCTGACCAGAACCACCTTTCACCTGGAAACCAATGCCCTTACTGTGGAAGAACATGCAGGTCAAGGAAAGATCTGCACAGTCACTTACATATCCACCACAAAGACACTACACTTGGAAGGCCATCATACTCTGACAATGAAGAATCACCTAAGTAAGTAAGTATGACAACAACAATAATAACAATAAAAATAACCAAAAATAGTAATTCCGTCCCAAAAACTCATGATCTGGCACTTAATGGCCACCCTTACAGTAGATCATTACATAGATGAGATGAATGAAAGCTAGAGGATAAGATTAAATGTGTGAGAAATAAATTGGGGGATGGAGGGAGATGGAGGGAGATAGGTCTCCACAGCCACCTATGGACCCATTGCCAAGACACTACACTAGGAGGACCATCATATTCGAACTACAAAGGATCGCCTAAATACAAAAGTCAAACCTGAAAATGTGCCAGGTAGAACCACCATTCTAATCCCTCTTCTCAACTAATGTAGAAAACCACATCCAGCAGCACTAAAGCAACTCAGCATAGGTCATTTGCTCTGGAGAACAGAAGTGATCATCAGTAGGATCCACTGATGCAAGACCTCAAAGACATTGCCAAAGTTTATATTAAAACTGGATTCATCATGCCCTGATGCTCATAAGGTTGTTGAAGATGGAAATGAACACATCATTACATTCTCATTGAGCAATTATATTAGTTCAGTATTGTTCTTACCCTGGACATAAACAGAATAATGGCCTCTGCAATGAAGCTTCAATGTCCAATTGCCAGCATGGACCGGGGAAGAAAGGAACGCTCTGTAGATGCCACCAATGGACTCAATCTTGGCTAAGGGACCACTGTGGACTTTATTTGTCTGGACGTTACCTGCAAGGAAGTTTATGGGAAGACAATCAGAACTATGGAAAACTAATACAGGATTAAATGTGAGTTTTAAGCATGCTTTATTACTGTGTGCTTTCAAATTGTTTCTAACATATGGCAACCTAATGCAATCTTGAAATTTTCTTGGCAGGTTTGTATAAAGGTATCTCTCCTAGTTTCAAAAGGAGATGGTATGGTAATAAAAAACTGATTCTCTGTCACCAATTACCCTAAAATAAAGTATGATTCAAATCCTGAGGATTCTGATTGAAGGACTGATTAAAATACAAACACAGCAAAATCCTTTGTCAAAAGTAGAAAGGTTAGACCAGAGAAATGCCCGCTCAACTATATAACCCAGTGGTTCTCAACCTGTGGATCCCCAAGTGTTTTGGCCTACAACTCCCAGAAATCCCAGCCAGTTTACTAGCTATTAGGATTTCTGGGAGTTGAAGGCAAAACATCTGGGGACCCACAGGTTGAGAACCATTGATATAGCCTATATCTGATGACTATTTCAACTGATTACTATTTCCCAGTCTATGAAACACATGTATAAATGAATAACATCTAAATAGCAACTATAGTGGTGTCAAAGTGCATTAATTCTACAGTGTGGCACCTTTCCAGGTTTTCAGATTATTTGCAATCAAGAGTCGATCAGGATAATACCATTTTGAGGAAGGACTGAAAGGGAGTGAGAATGTGAATATATTAAAATGAAAGAATCATTGTGTATTCTCGATCATTCTGGAGTAATTTACATTGTATGTTTGGCTAGGCCTATTGAGCTTTAGCTGAGTACACAGAAGTCTAAATTCCTTCAGGCCGAACATAGGAACAAGTGGTTTGCATGGATCAGCAAGTTGTCTTTTACGCATGTTAATTATAATTTCTGATCTTCTTGTAAACTTCCAAAGAGCTTGATTAAGTGTATCATGACTGTAAGAATCATCAAACAAGGTGATACACTTAGCCAGGAATTAGAAGCTGAAAATCTTTAATTGTTGAAAGATGCCTTTTTGTCTTAGTGTGTGCTTTTCCTTACTCTGCAAAGGAAGGAGGTCTGCTTTGTGTCTCATCATTGGAAGATGAGCAAAACACTTTCTGATGACACACAGGACTCTGGACCATTGTTGGGAAAAAGATGCACTAACAACACAGAGTACTAATTTTTTTTATAATTTACTTTGACCCTAACACACAGGTATGCTGGTGCGGGCGTACAATTTGTGTGTTTATGTATGGGGATGTCTATATATGTGTGTATGCATGCACATGTGTGTGGAAATTCATGTCTTTTACCTGCTATGCACCCTGCTTTTCTCTGCTGGGAACACAAACCATAAAAGCAATTCTAAAAGCCTGAAGAGTCTTGATAAAGTTGTTGAACTGTGAAAAAAGAATATATTTTTACCTGAAGGATCCCAGATTTCAAAGGCCTGGATAGCCCCTTGGATGGTCACAACCACTTTGTCCACCAAGCTGTCAATCCAGAATTGGTGAACCTCCAGCTCTGTTGCCCGTTTCTTTATCTTCCGATGAGCCCCTTTAAGGCTGAAGATATTTCCCTTTTGATGGCGAAAGAGGGTCACCTGGAAAGACAGATTGCCAAAGATCTGTAAGAGTAGTTTAGCCGGAAAACATGAAAAATGTCCAATCTGCAGTGGAGAAGTAATGTAATGCAGTTTTGAACTACATTATGTAATCAGTGTAGACTCAGATAATAGAGTTTCAGCTGAATTATATGGATCTGCAATAATCATATAACTGTTTTATATGGCAATGTAGATGGGGGCCTTAGTCACTTAAATACATTCATTTCACACTCACAGCATGGATTTTTAAAGCTGAATGCAGATTTTCTGTTTGTGGAATCTGGGGCTGGATCAGCTTGGAAAATGTGCTCTCAATTAACTGGTCAGATGATTTTCTTTTACAGAAATTAATAAAAAAAATCAAATATTCATATTTAAAGTTTTCTCCTGTGTGTGAAAGAGGAATATCTCTTCAAGAGGATGAGTTTGCCATTGTTCATCTGTGTATCATCTATGAAAACAGTGTCCATGTTTCCACCTTATTTTAAGCCAGGTATATACTGAAGCACAATCCACACACTCTCCTTTCTTCTTGTTTTGTTCCTCTAACCCACTGGTTCCCAACCTGTGGCCCACAACAACTAAAATATGGTCTGCAGCCTCACCATTACAACGAGAGTGACTGGTCTCGCAAAACCCTCTTATAGTGGTTAGGCTTATTAAATACGATTTTCTGTGGGCGAGCAGATGATGACTACTGGATGGCATATGTTCTGTATCAGAAACTAGAGCTGAAGTGGTCTATCCAATGCAATTTTCTGAATCGGCACCCCAAATGGCCAAACCAAATCTAGAGTTGGCCAAAAACCGATTTGTAACCCTTTTAGTACTAATGTTGGAGAGTGGACTCTGGTCAAAAAAATATTATGAACCACTGCTCTAACCCATACAATCAGGTAAACAAACTAAGTGTGGATCTCTGTATGGGTATATCTTCAAGTCACCTGTCAACTTGTGTTTGCAGGTTTTCTTAGGCAAGGAAGCCTTGGAGGTGGCTTTACCAGTTCTTTCCTCTGAAATACACCTTCCAGCACTTGGCATTCACTGGCAGTCTCCCATCCATGTATTAACCAGGTCTTGAGATCAAATGAAATCCTATGCCTTTAGGGTGTGGGCAGGTTAATGTTATGTCTGAAGCAAGGATTGTGCCCAATTAAGCCAGCATCACAAGTCACATTTAAGCAATGTCATTTGCTTGCTAATGAGGCCTGTTTTGATTAGATTCAATAAAACATAATCACAGGTTCAGATATACCCATGAGCAGGATGAAAAAGTGTAAGTCAAAGTAAATGCATTTTGGTTTAACAAGTCAGCATTTTGTCTTAAAGGGATGCAGCAAACATTAGAATATTTTCTCCTCTAAATTTACTGGGCTGTTGATTTTTTAAAAAAAACTCACATACACAGTTTTAATTCATGTACATGGGTTTTTTTTAAAAAAAAGTCATATACCCAATTATGAATTTTTAAAAGATCAGCTAAGATATAATTAATGAGGCCACAGCCCTATAAGGTGATTTGTAGGTTTTCAATTTTTAAGGCAAAAGTGGGAGAGATTTGGAGTTGAGCTAAGCAAAAAGATATCAGTAGGTTGAAAATACCAAAGCTATTTGGGTTGGGGCAAGACTTAGCTATACATATACTGTAGATATCAGAAGAAAAACAAATATGAGCAGCATGCTCAAAGAGAAAAAAGGAGGATAAAAAGATGAAAACAGGTCAATGCAAAGAGCAACTTGATTGCAAGGCTGAAAAAATGAAATAGATGTTTTAACAATTAAAAAGGAGGAAAACCCATCCTAAGAAATGTTTGGACAACAAAAGAGACAATGTTGGCAAGAGAGTAAATAGCAGTGAATCAAAATTAGGATCTGAAATTATAGATATGATGGTTTCTATTATCCATGTGGTTTGTGTGTGTGCGTGTATGTGTATCAGATGTAATGCTAACAGTGAAAACAACATGTAACTAAACAAATCAGAAGTCTAACTGGAATGAACTAAGTGACCAGAAGGTTGGCAGTTCAAGCCTGCTGTCAGTCCAGCTTCTGCTCACCTAGCAGTTCGAAAACAACAATGTAAATAAATAAATAAATAAATTCTATCCTAGTTATATTTCACCTGGTCATGCTCAGCATTATTTTTAAAATTTTAACTATTACATTTGGCCCAGCCATAGGTTTTTTAAACGTCGTTGTGTTATTGTTGATGTTTACTGCTTATTTTCTGTTTATGAGTTTTATTTTACTGTTTTGTATTACTGTTGTTGTTGTTTTTTGCTGATGTATTGTGGGCTCAGCCTCATGTAAGCCGCACTGAGTCCCTTGGGGAGGTGGTAGTGGGGTACAAATAAAGTATTATTATTATTATTATTATTATTATTATTATTATTATTATTAAATTGGAGCCCCCAATGGCGCAATGGGTTAAACCCTTGTGTTGGCAGGACTGAAGACTGACAGGTCAGAGATTCGAATCCAGGGAGAGCGTGGATGAGCTCTCTCTGTCAGCTCCAGCTCCTCATGCACGGGCATGAGAGAAGCCTCCCACAAGGATGGTAAAACATCAAAACATCCGGGCATCCCCTGAGCAACCTCCTTGCAGACAGCCAATTCTCTCACACCAGAAATGACTTGCAGTTTCTCAAGTCACTCCTGACATGAAAAAAAATAGATAAATAGGTATGGGGAGGTAAAAAGCACCCTGAAAAACATGCCGCAAAAATCTGACCAGGAAAGGTGTCCAGGCTCCTCGGTGTGGAAAATGAAACAACAGCACCTCTCCATGGCTGAGTCGAGCACAATCGGATGCCAGAGATAAAAAGAAGGAAGTCTTGCCTCTGTTTATGTTCTTTCTGTCTTTGTTAATTGTTAATGGCTTTGAATGTTTGCCTGTAATCCACTCTGAGTTCCCTTGGGAAGATAGAGTGGAATATAAATAAAGTATATTATTTATAGAATTGCTCAGAAGTGTTTGTTTTGCCCTTTTGTACATTGTATTATTTTTCTGTAGCTTTTTGTACCACTTGGCTTACAAAAATAATCACAGAATTATATTACCAATAAAATAACATCAGCCATAGTATCAAGTTAACAAACAACATTAAGGTCGCATTAAAAGCAATACTAAAATAATTACCGAAGATATGCTGGATTCACCGATGACTTTCGCCACCTGCCGGATGTTCTTGTCATCTGTAAATATGATTTGCCCACCTGAACTGTGAGCCAGGTCTACATAGAGATTGAATCGGTCTGGGGCAAGTGTCTCCCGTTTCACCCGGGTCCTGGATGGATCTTCTGTAATGAGGAAGGTCACCTGATGTTAGATGGAGAAAGGAAGAAGCTTTATATTTGTGTGTGTAGTTTGTGTGTGCCTGTCAGTCTAAAGCAGTGTTTATCAAACTATGCTCCTCCAGATGTTTTGGACTTCAGCTCCCAGAAATCCCAGCTGTTAGGAATTATAGGAGCTTGAAGTCCAAAACATCTGGAGGAGCAAAGTTTGAGAAACTCTGATCTAGAGCACTGGGTTTTTTAAAACTGTGGGTCCTGATCTCAAATGATGTCCCCTTGGCTCAATGTTGGGGGTCACAAAATTTGGCAACAGTAAAGGTTTCTGAATGGCACCCAGTGGCTATTTTAGAGATTCACATGAATCTGTTGTGTTTACAGTAGAGTCTGCAGAAGATGCTTCAGCTGTACTTCATAATAGAGGAAATCAGCCTGTTATGTAAGCAGGCCTTGCAAATGCTGGTTTATAATTATCGGTAAATGTTTTGTTTTATACTTGTTTTATATACCGATATAACTGGTATCATGTAAAACAAATTAAGGTTGAAAGGGGTAGCAAAGAAATTTCTCAGGCCGACAGAAGTCATGAATGGAAAAGGCTTAAGAAGCCCTGATCTAGAGAAGGTCAGCATATTTGAAGGCGATTTTCTTGCTTCTTGGACTGGATGGCACATGAGGTCTCTTCCAACTTTATGATTCTATGATTCTATATTTTTCCCTGGCATATTACACAATTGAAAACAAATGAAACGAAGATGCGTGACCGCAACTCCGTTTATGAACCCACTCGTTCACTTCGTTCATCCGGAGAGGCCCTGCTCGTGATTCCGCCTGCGTCGCAGGCGTTTGGTGGGGACGCGAGACAGGGCCTTTTCTGTGGTGGCCCCCCGACTCTGGAACACCCTCCCAAAAGATCTTAGACAGGCCCCTACATTGGCAGTCTTTAGAAAGAACTTGAAGACCTGGCTGTTCCGATGTGCCTTTCCAGAATAGGAAAACTCCAACAACAAGTCCCAGAAGCACTTTATTAGAAATTAAGATTGCTGGCACACTGCACTTACCCTATAATCCTTACATATCACCTGTCACATCAGCACTTTTAATCTGTACCCATTACTCTGGCCCGGCCCAGTTTTATTGTGTCTTGGTATTGTTTATTGCTTGTTGTTTAATATTGCTTTAACTGTTTTTAATTTGCTTTAGGTTTTGTATTGTTATGTTGTGTTTTGAGGCCTTGGCCTTTGTAAGCCACATCGAGTCCTTCGGGAGATGCTAGCAGGGGACAAATAAAGTTAATAATAATAATAATAATAATAATAATAATAATAATAATACTCAGTTCTTGAAATTGAACTTTCTAACAAGCATATTATCCCTTTCACCTTGCACTTTTTCTCTTGGCTAAGCGATTCCACACTGTTCTTGAGATGAGCATCTTTAGCGGATGCATCAGTAAAGACAAAAATCTCAGAATATGGCGGTGAGTACTGGAGGGCAAGCTAGAGAAAAGGATGAAGAGAAGAGAGATTGGCGTTAGACCACTGAGCACAGCATTTCAATTCATTTTGGCCAATAGGGACAGCCAAAAGAAATTCCTAGGGAAACAAATAGTTTGTGTGTCCTGACCCCCACAAGGTTGTGGATTCAAAAATGTATTTGTTGAGTTTCCCACCATTTTTCAAAAGTCAACAAACCAAAACTTAATTTACAAGTTAACAGTGTTGTTATATTACACTAGATTAATAACCAACCCATATTAATGATTAGCAAGAAAATCACAATCATCCCCACTTAGCCCAGGTCTAAGGAAATGCTGCCCTACAGATATTTTTGGACCCCAACTCCCATTACACCTGGCGAACATAACTAATGGTTAGGAACAACAGAAGTTGCACTTCCATTGTGGGATAGAACATTTTTAGGATTTCACTGTAACCAAACAAACAGACTCAGGGCCTTTCCAGCCATATAACTCAGAATATCAGGAGCCCCCAGTGGCGCAGTGGGTTAAACCTCTGTGCTGGCAGGACTGAAGACCGACAGGTCGCAGGTTCGAATACAGGGAGAAGCAGTTGAGCTCCCTTTCCCAGCTCCTCATGCGGGGACATGAGAGAAGCCTCCCACAAGGATGATAAAACATCAAATCATCCGGGCATCCCCTCGGCAACGTCCTTGCAGATGGCCAATTCTCTCACATCCGAAGTGACTTGCAGATTCTCAAGTCTCTCCTGACACAACAATAGTAATACCCAGAATATCAAGGGAGGAAATTCCACAATATCTGCTTTGAAGTGGAATATATGGCAGTGTGGACTCAGATAACCCAGTTCAAAGCAGATACTGAGGGATTTCCTGCCTTGATATTCTGGGTTATATGGCTGTGTGGAAGGGCCCTCAGGATATAATACAGTTGATCTTCTGTATCCAAGATTCTCCATTCATGGATTTAACCATCTGTTAAGTAAATGAGATGCTGTTTTACTACGCCATTGTATATTTGGGATTTTGGTATCAATGGAGGGTCCTGGAACCAAAGTTAGAAAATGCCAATGACCCACTGTATGTGTATGTATTCCAAAGATATGATAAATCCACAAAATTATTATATATACAGCCTACAAACAGTAACAAGGGTAAAGTTCCACAACTAAATAAACTAAAGGAAGGCAACAGACCAAAGGACTTGAACAATCTGTAACCCAACAGAGGCCAGGTACATTTCAACCAGTAGTCCTCCTCAACGGCCAATGAGAAACCCATAAAGTTGTTCAGTTCTTTCTTCCTCTGACCTAGAGAACCTAAGACTATTATTATGTTTATTATGTTATTGTTTTAATTGTTTTTAAACTGTTTTTATTATGTTGAGCATTGAATTTTGCTATTGTTAACCGCTTTGAGTTGCCCAAGGACTGAGAAAAGCGGTATATAAATGAAGTAAATAAATAAATAAATAATTAAGACTAATATATTAAATTCTCACAAAATAAAATTTAACCTGATCTCCTTCTCTGCTGCAGCCTCTGCCTCACTGTGCCTGCCTCCGACTTAGAGAACCTAAGTCCCCTTTCTACACAGCTGTATAAAATTCACATCTGCTTTGAACTGGATTATATGGCTGCGTAGACTAAGGACCCTTCCACACAGCCATATAATCCAGAATATCAAGGCAGAAAATCCAACAATATCGGCTTTGAACTGGGTTATCCGAGTCCACACTGCCATATATTCTAGTTCGAAGCAGAAAATGGAGGATTTCATTCAGCTGTGTGGAAGGGGCCTAAGATAACCCAATTTGAATCAGATAATGTGGATTTTTTGCTGTGATAACCTGCATTATCTGGTAGTATAGTATAGTATAGTAATATAGTCTAGTCGTGTCCAATTCGGGCGGGGGGGGGGGGAGGTTGGTGCTCATCTCTATTTCTAAGCCAAAGAGCCGGTGTTGTCTGTAGACACCTCTAAGGTCATGTGGCCAGCATGACTGCATGGAGCAGCGTTAACTTCCCACCTATTGATCTACTCACATTGGCATGTTTTCGAACTGCTAGGTTGGCAGAAGCTGGGGCTAACAGTGGGAGCTCACCCTCCTCCCTGGAAACCACCAACATTTTGGTCAGCAAGTTCAGCAGCTCAGCAGTTTAACCCGCTCTGCCACCAGGGAGCCCACCTGCTAGTGTAGAAAGGGCTGAATAAGCCTTAAATATATAAAGCCTATGTCTACAATGGCGGAGCCATAGGGAGAGGCAGATAATAAAATGTATTATCATTGCAAAATTGAGGTTAAGGCACCTGATTTACACACTTCTGAATGTTATTCCACTCCCACAACTGTGTAAATATGCTCTATACCTGAGCATTAAATTAAATTAGTCAGTAGTGCATCTGAAGAAATAGGTTTATATCCACAAAAATTCCTGCAGAAATGAAAACAGGTTAGTCTTAAAGGTGCTGCTTTATTCCTTCCTCCCCTCCTACTCCTTTCATTTTATATATGAGATCATGTTATTCATGCCTTTCCTCTCACTCAGACTGCAGACAACAGTTTTGAGAACTTGCTGTCTATGAAAATTATACATGAAATACAACCTCTAGTGCAGAAAGGCACATTTCTGGTTCGTCCCCACCAGACAAAGGAACGATGTCATCAAAAACTCTCCAGAATTCTTCTGGGTCACTGGTCTTGTGGACAGGGCCAAACCCTGGAGGGAAGACAGAGAAAGAGAATGAGGCATTAATGGCTGATTCATGCACTTGCATTACTTCATTGCATCTGAATAGGTGCACCAGCTCAATTGAAGAAGCATTACATCAGCTGTACTACATCCAAGCTCTCTTTATCTCATTGAGCTTGCAATGGCTGCATCCAGGCACCCAAGTCTTCAGTCAGCACATATGCTTGCATGAACCCAGTCCCAAATGTCAGCTAGAAGTATAAAAAAATAAGATTTATTTATTTACTAGCCATCACCTGCCCCACGTTGCTGTGGCCCAGTCTGCGTATATGTGATTTGTGTATCTGTGTATATATGTGTGTTTGCGTGTGTGTGTATATGTGTGTGTGGGGGGGTGTATATATGTGTGTGCATATGTGTGTGTGTAGATGTGTATATATGTGTGTCAGGCCCGTAGCCAGGATTTCGTTTCGGGGGGGGGGGGCTGAATTTTTTTTCAGGGGGGGTTTCAGGGGGGGCTGAGTTTCTGGGGGGGGGGTGAGTCTGAGTGAAAGAGGGTCTAGCCTAGCAAACCTTTTGTATCATTACCCCTATACCCCCATGCATATGGGATATATTGAGTATGGTGATCAGATCATGATATGAATAAACATAACAGTTTAAATAATGCACCAGTAAGGCCTTTTCGCAAACCACCATGAGAATTTCGGGGGGGGGGGCTGAAGCCCCTCAAGCCCCCCCCCCCGCTACATGCCTGATGTGTGTGCTTGTCTATATGCATATGTGTGTGTGTGTGTAGATGTATGTGTGTGTATATTTGCGTCTGCTTGGGTATATATTTATTATTATTTATTTAGAGCTTTTATAACCCGGTCTTCTTCTGTATGTGTGCGTATGTTTGCATGTGTATACGTGTGTGTGTGTGTATGGTGTATTTTGGGAGGTTTTAAGTCCATTCTGCTGGGGGGGGGGTTGTATTTTTAGGGGTGATGGTCACTCGTTGGACTGTTAGGTGTCGTGTGTCCAAATTGGGTATCAATTAGTCCAGTGGTTTTTGAGTTATGTTAATCCCACAAACGAACATTACATTTTGATTTATATAGATTTACCGTATTAATATACCGCCTTTCTCAGCCCAAAGGTGACTCAAGATGGAAAACTATATCCAACATACCAGGAAAGATACTCCACACCAACATTAGTGTGTATCTACTTCATTCAAATATGCTACCTTGGAGAGAGTAGAAACACTCCAACAAAGAACAATATTAAGTATTTAAGCACAGTTACATGGAATCTGAATGTTAAGGCATACAGAAAGATGCCAAATGTGGCATTAATTGCAACTCTTTAGCACAGCGGGTTAAACCACCAGCTGCAGAATCGAAAGGTCAACAGTTCAAGCCCAGGTTGGGGTGAGCTCCCAACCATCAGCCAAGCTTCTGGTCTGCTAGCAGTTCAAAAACAGTAATGTGAGTAGATAAATAGGTCCCGCTTAGGTGGGGAGATAATAAAAGCCGCCCATGTGGACATGCCAGCGATTCAATTAGGAGAGTGTCTAAAGAAAACAAAGCTCCTCGGCATGGAAGATGGAGCGACAGCACCCCCTCATGGTGGGAGTTGAGCACAGCTTCCAGATGCCGGAGATGGAAAAAGCTTGGAAGCCTTTACCTCTGTTTATGTACTATCTGTCTTTGTTAATTGTATAATGGCACTGAATGTTTGCCATATATGTGTACTGTAATCTGCCCTGAGTCCCCTCAGGATATAGATAAAGTATATTATTGTAAAGTATATTATTACTCTTCAAAAGGTTACATCAGTTGATTCATGTGTTTTAAGCAGATGGTCTTGGGCTTAAGGAGTCAAAGCGACACATTCTGCCTACTCAAAATGATCCTTAAGGCAGTAAACTCTTCTGAGAATTATTTTGATATCCACACAACTGTAAGGGGGATCCATACATGAATATACTAATAATGCAGAATTCAAAGAAACTGTACACAGACATTTCAGCTCTTGGAAACTCCATGGCTGACTCCTACTAAATTACTCAAATTCAAATTCAAAGTGTTGGTTTTAGCCTATAAAGCCCTAAACAGACCAGCTTATCTGTCCAAATGTATCTCCCTCTATGAATCATCTCAGAGATTAAGATCATCTGGGGAGGTCCTGCTCTCAATCCCACCTCCTTCTCAGGTGCAGTTGGTGGGGACGATGGACAGGGCCTTCTCAGTGGTGGCCCTTTGGCTGTGGAACTCCCTCCCCATCAAAATCAGGTCAACCCCCTCACTCCTGATTTTCATGAAGTAAGTGAAAAACATGGCTCTGAGACCAAGCTTTTGGCCAATAGTGCTGTGCAACAAATAAAATAGACTTACGTGCAATGACAACTGGAACGGCCTTTGACTATGTCCTCAGATTGGGTGATTTTAAAATTGCATTTAATGTTTTATTGTTTTTCATTTGTTTTAATGTACATGTCTATTTTCTATTGACTGTTGACGGCATCAAATCGCTGCTGATTTGTAAGGCCCCTTGAAGTCCTCTTCAGGGTTGAGAAGGGCAGGATATAAATATAGTAAATAAATAAATAAACCCTCCAACCTGTATACTATGTGGATACTGTGGGGCTGCAGTAGCACAGTGGGTTAAACCACTAGCTGCAGAAAAAAACTTGTTGACCAGAAGGTTAGCAGTTTGAAGCCGTGGGTCGGGGTGAGTTTCTGCTGTTAGTCCTAGTTCCTGTCAATCTAGCAGTTCAAAAACATGTAATGTGAGCAGACCAATAGGTACCGCCTCGGCAGGAAGGTAAAAAAGGTGCCCATGCAGCCTTGTCAGCAAACATGACCAGGAGAGTATGGAAAAATGAACACGAGTACCTCCCCATGGCCAGAGTTGAGCATTGCCTCCAGATGCCGGAAATGGAAAGGAAACTTTTGCCTTTAAATTGGGACAAGCAGCTCGATTGCCACAATTTAGCATCCAGTATCCCTTAACCAGTATTGCCAGTTTTGATCCAAAAAATGAATTTCCCTAAGCTCTGCTATTATGTTATTCCAAAGTACTGTTAGACATTCTGAGCACCACTTGGTGAAAAGGCAGAATGTAAATGTAAACAAATAGAAAATACAAAAAGTAACCAACCAACCACCGCAATCCTGGGTTTATGTCAATCATCTCACCAGGGTCATGAAAAGGCACTAAGAGGTAGAAATCTGGCTCTTGGGGGGTGCCGTGCCGCTGGTCAATGATCTCTCGTGCCTGGTTCTTGGCAGCATTGATCTCATCTCCCATGCTTCCAGTGGTATCTACCACAAAGCTCAGGCCTGTGGCTGGACTGATATCCAGAAGCCTGCAAACAAAACAATAGGAACCAACCATGGATGAGTCACTATCCTGAAGTCTCTTGGGTTATGTAGAGGGAAAACAGTATTAATCATAAGCACTTTGAGTCAATTCAATTTTCATGGGAGTTGGGCAGGCTCCAAGAAATTATCAGAATTAATTTCTTGTGAAATAACAGAACAGCTTCTGCTGAAAGTATCTGAGGAAGGAACACATTTGACTTCCATTTTGGTATTTGCTTGGTTTTATGTATGGCCTGGAAAAATGATAGTTGGCTCTCCATATTTGCAGGTTTAACTTCTGCAGATTTGATTATTCATAGATTTGATTACTCTTTAGGAATCAAATTACTCTACTCCCCTCCCAGTTGATCACACAGGTGCCCCTTCCGAATCCTCTGAATTCAGAAGATGCAACTGCGATGACCACATTCTTGCAAAGAGCACCTTGGCCAGTGAGGCAGCCGCCAGGATGACATGAAGATAAAGGGATGTTCCAGACTGCTCCAGACAGATCACACAGCCTAGATTAAGCGGCCTTCTACAATGATCATTTAAGGCAGTTTGAAAATGTGGCAATTAGATAATGCACACTCAGAAAGCATGGTGCAGTGTACTTTAAACCCATTCATTTGAGATAAGCCAAATTGGGAATAGTCTAAAATATAGCCTGTAATGTGCATCTGTACTCTGGTATGTAAACAACATTGCACTGTAATATGAGCTCTGCAGAATGTGAATCTCTGTAATGATAATAAATAATAATAAATTAATTTTGTTCTTGTATCCTGCCTCCATCTCCCCGAAGGGACGCGGGACATCTTGCATATGGCACAAAGTGCCTAAAACAGATGGGGCATAAAATAAGCACACAATAATAATAATAATAATAATAATAATAATAATAATAATAATAATAACAACAACAACAAAGAACTGGTGGGATCACAAGCCGGAAAAAGTTACAGAGAATGAACACGTCAAACTACTCTGGGACTTCCGAATTCAGATGGACAAAGTTTTGTCCTTTTGCCAACTTGGAATGGGCAAGGCTTAATGGAAGATGTTGTATAAAGATTTAGATGAGTGTGAAAACAAGAAATGGATTAAGAGCCCACCATTTACAGATGAGCCACATTACCTCATGAATTGCTTGTTCCCTATTTCTTGCCACAACTTCTCCAAGAAGTGCTTGGTGGCCTCCTGGGCCAGAACAGCTGCCTCCTGGTGTAGGTAGTGGTGGGGTGAAAAGAAGAGGGATGAGCTGTCTTTATTAATCCCACCACGGGGCTCCTCGTGGCGGCTGTCATCAAACCTCCCACCATGACTGCATTTTCCTGGGGAAAGAGGGATGTTTCAAAGAAATTTATTTATTTATATTTATTTACAGTATTTCTATTCTGCACTTCTCACCCCGCAGGGGACTCAGGGCAGATTACAATGCACATATACATGGCAAACATTTAATGCCATTTAGACATACACCACATATAGACAGACACAGAGGCAATTTAACATTCCAGCTTTTTCTGATTTCGTGAAGGTATGCTCAATTCTGGCCACAGGGGGAGCTGCCACTTCACTGTCCATTTGTGACGCTGGGTCCTTGCTGGAGTACTTCCTCATTCTTACCCACGTTGCCGGAAGGTTGTATGACACCGTAAATTAGTATAATTAGCCTCCCCGCATAAAGCGGTAGCTAAATTTCCTACTTGACAGATGCAACTGTGTTTCAGGCTGCATAGGTCAACAGCAAGCTAAACTATTAATGGTTGGGAGCTTACTCCAACCCAGGCTGGCTTCGAACTCATGACCTCTTGGTCAGTAGTGATTTAATGCAGCTGTCTACTAACTAGCTGTGCCACAACAGTGTACCATGACCGCTAGCCCCATCTCCTGAAGACCAGGGATATGCTAACACAGTGATTCTCAACCTGTAGGTCCCCAGGTGTTTTGGCCTACAACTCTCAGAAATTCCAGCCAGTCTACCCAGCTGTTAGGATTTCTGGGAGGTGAAGGCCAAAACATCTAGGGACCCACAGGTTGAGAATCACTGTGCTAACATAACATTTATATGTGTGTGTGTGTGTGCTCTATGCGTAATGAGCATCTTAAAAACAAAAACACTACGGGGCCAAATGACCCCAAATTTGGCAACAAAACTCCTCACAATCCAAGGAGTGACCATCACTGGAAAAAAAAACCCGAAAACACCTGTAAATTCAAAAAAGGAAAAAGACAACACTCCTCCCCCTCCCCCTCGCGTGAGAGGACACAGCCAGCGAGGCCACCTTACTTCCCCTTCCCCTTTGCCTTCACAATCCTTGGAAGGTGAGGAGGGAGAAGGGGCCTAATGTGCGAAGGTGAGTGGCAGCAGGGTGGCTCATATGCTGCAGTGTCAAAAGGAAGAAGAGGAGGAGGAGGAGGGCTCCAAAGCAGCAGCAGTGGCAATGGCAATGGCTGCTGCTCCCTGCATGTCTCTTGGCCCCTAATTTATTTATTTACTTCATTTATATTCCGCTTTTCTCAGCCCTTGGGCGACTCACTAAGGCAAGGGATTAAAGGGCAGAGGCTGAGGAGAAAGAGGAGGGGGAGCAGGGAGGATAGGTATGTCTGGAGAAGCACGTACACACATGTCTTCTGCATAGTTTTCCATATGTTTCTTTCCTAGATGAGCAGCTGTCTTTCTCCAAATGGAAAAATTGTTGGAAATAGCAACCTTCTTCAAGTCTCCACTAATTATTTGTTATGTATATAATTCAGATTGCTTACTGTATTGTATATGTGTGTATTGGTATGCAGTTTTCCTCAATTCTATGTTCTAGGAGGGGTTGCAGACCATGTGATCAGATCTGGGATTGTTCAGGACTCAGACTCCATTTTAGAAACAGTATGCTTTCAGACGCCAATAGAAACAGGTCAGTTTAGATGCCGGTAGAAGCAGAATGCTTTATAGAACTGACTCCATGGGGCTCCATTAGACTCTCAGAACAGAGAGATGCTTTGGACTTTTGATTGTTGATTATAAGAAAGATGTCCTGAGCTATATGCACAGAGAAACTACTTCAAATCCTATCTGTAACTGGACTGATATGCAAAGTACCTGTATGCTGAACACACAAAGTCTGTGAGTAAACCAACTATGTTACTTTTAAAGAAGTATACCTTATTTTTGTCTCTTGAGAGCATGATTTAAACCAAGATGCTTTAAGGGAGAGTATATGTTGGCAAAAGTATGATAGCTGGGACCCAAAACTGGTTGCGCGACGCGGGTCAGAATTAGAGAAGCGAAGATGTTAAGTATTTGAACGTGTTTGCATATGATATCTGGATAGTCTTAAGCCATATGCTTGGCTATTTGTTACCACCCTTTCTGCCCCCCCCCCCTTTTCTGGTGAACTAGCTTGCCACGACTCTGTCGCACCTGCATCTCTCAGCTATCAGCATCTACCAGCTATCATAGTTTTGCCTAGATGTTTTTTGGGCAACTGAAAGAACATTTCTGAAACTCTGCTATATATATGTATGCGTGTTTTTCTGCATTGGCATATCTTTGTCCCTAACAGTTCAAAGAGATATCTAGGTATATCAGTTTAACAGCTGAGAAACCTAATTGCCTTGCATGAATACTAATGGATATTTATCATTAAGGAGAAGGTTTAACTCTTCTCAGCAAGATTTCTGATTTTCCCAAAATGGTGAATGCCATTTTTCAAAAGGTTATAGAGATTTCCATTTCCCAAAAGGTTATGGCATCATTGGTTTTCATGGCAGGAATCACTGGGTTGTTGTAGGTTTTTTTCGGGCTATATGGCCATGTTCTAGAGACATTCTCTCCTGACGTTTCACCTGCATCTATGGCAAGCATCCATCTATGGCAAGCATCCTACAACAACTTGGCTGTGGCATCATTTTTCAAAAGGTTATGATTTCTAACAAGGTCATGCCTTTCCATCATAATTCTCCAAAAAATATCTTATAGTAATTCCTCTACATTTGCGTGTGGGGAAGATGTTTCTAGGGCTAATAGATGCAAAGTGAGTGATATTCTCTATATCCCTATTTAAAGCAAACAACAAAAATAAAGCATAACAGAATTAAAATCTGCAGTAGCTATTAACAGTTTTGCAAAAGCAACGACTGCAGCTCAAGGTTAGCATCCCGTCTTGTTTGGCCCCATTGCCAGGGCTACCCTTATTCTGTTTTCTGTCTTCCCATATGAAGGCTAATAATAATGAAGCCCACATGCCTCAAGAGAGAGCAAACATCTCCTGAATAGAGCCCTGCATTAGGCCTCGCTGAACAAAACAGGACTCCGCTGCGAGGAGAGAATGGCTGAAAAGCTCTGCTTCTCCCTCATTAATTATCTATGGCGGAGGAGAACAAAGCGCTCCAGTTCTCCAGGATTACATCTGACCGTATTATAGAAAATAATAACAAAAGAAACGCAGGAGGAAAGAAGCAAGAGGCAAGCAGCTGTGGCCGGAAAAGAACAAATCTCCATCACATGAGAAAGCTCTTCTCTAAACCAAGGTACAGCAAAGGTTTGTTCTCATGGGTTTTGACATGAGCTGTCTAAAGGCGCACGAGGAATACAAATGAAGAACGGGAATTCCCCTTGAATCTTTAATGGGGGCAAAAACAAAAACCCTCTGTCCCAAACCAGGGGCTCCCATCCTATGCCATACCAGTGGGTTTTTCTGGTTGGCTGCCATAGTAACCCGTAGTCAGAAGGCCTGTCGCAGCAACGTCTTCCAGGAGATTTCCTTCACAGGTCCAGTCAATGCAGTCGCTGCAGGTCGGGATGTCCGCTGTGGGAGCCGAGAAGAGATTTTGAAAAGATGAGCTGAGAGAATGAACAAATGAGGGACCCACAGATTGACTAAAATGCAGATGTAGTTCTGATAGGGGTCACCAGAACAATTTTAAAATCCATATTATTGCACTCTCTTCAGCACAGTGGTTCCCAACCTGTGGTCCATGGACCACCAGTGGTCCCCAAGAACTAAAACATGGTCTGCTACCTCACTGTTACTGCACCGTTGTAACGAGAGCAACTGGTCTCGCAAATCCTCTTATAATGCAGAGGCTTCCTTATTTATTTATTTATGTATGTATTTATATCCCACATTGCTAACCCACCTGGCGGGGCTCCCGGTAGCGCAGTGGGTTAAACCCCTGTGCCGGCGGGACTGAAGACCAAGAGGTAGCAGGTTCGAATCCGGGGAGAGCGCAAATGAGCTCCCTCTATCATGCGGGGACATGAGAGAAGCCTCCCACAAAGATGATAAAACATCAAAACATTCTGGCATCCCCTGGGCAATGTCCTTGCAGACAGCCAATTCTCTCACACCAGAAGCAACTTGCTGTTTCTCAAGTCACTCCTGACATGACTCTCTCTCTCTCTCTCTCTCTCTCTCTCTCTCTCTCTCTCTGTGTGTGTGTGTGTGTGTGTGTGCATGTATATATATATATATCTCCTGGCCGGCGGGAAGGTAACAGTGCTCTATGCAGTCGTGCCAGCCACATTACCATGAAGGTGTCTACGGACAAAGCCGGCTCTTTGGCTTAGAAATGGAGATGAGCATCAACCCCCGACTTGGACACAACTGGACTTAATGTTAGGGGAAAACCTATGGCTGTGTGGAAGGACCCCTAGTCTACACAGGCCTATACATTAGGCTGGCTATTTAGGGCCTCCCTTAGATGCTGATACAGTAAGATCCCCTTATCTAGGAATATGTTCCTGGCTGAACCATGGTTATGTGGAAGTACAGATATGATGAATGCCATTTAATTACTTCATTTCCAGTTTATCATATCATAAGTTAGGGAGCCCCTGGTGGTTAAACCCTTGTGCCGGCAGGACTGCTGACCAAAAGGTCAGTAGTTTGAATCTGGGGAATGGGGTGAGTTCCCATCTGTCAGCTCCAGCTTCCCATGCAGGGACATGAGAGAAGCCTCCCACAGGATGGTAAAACATCTGGATGTCCCCTAGGCAACGTCCTTGCAGACGGCCAATTCTCTCACACCAGAAGCGAATTGCAGTTTCTCAAGTTGCTCCTGACACAAAAAAATATCATAAGTCGCCTTGGAGAACCTAGAGATTTCTAAAGAGGTATTCTTTCTAGGAATTTGCTGTTCTCCAACATAGCATGGAATGCATGAATTTCAAGTTAATGTTTAGAAAGCCCTTGCCTGGGAACAGGAAAGTTTAACCATAAATATAGGGGTCAACCTGTATTAATTTTCACAAGGAAACCTCCCTAGATTGAAAAAAAAATTCCCCACAAGTATCACACCAGTTTGTTACCTTCTGCAATTGACTTGATTTCATGACCTGGTTGGACCAGATCTGGATGGATCTGTTTATTTCCAAGTTCAACCCAGTTGCTATGGCTGTAGAAATCCTAGCCAGAAAAAAAGAAACACCATGTTGATATTGGTTGGAGCATGCAGCGTTTCACTTACTGTACAAATACCTGCTCTAGCTTGATTGCCCAAGGTCACCCAATAGATTTCCACAACCAAAAGGGGACTTGAAACCCGGTCTCTAGAGCTGTAGTCCAATGCTCTTACTGCTACACCATGCTGTCTCTCACACTATGCAGTATGTCAAGCCACAAGCATATCTTCTGAAAAGTCCAAATTGTAGAAGACACTCTCCCAGACAGTTCTGAGGGCTCCAGCATAATCTTACTGGAGACATTATACTCCGGGCAAAGAAAGTATCACTCAATCGCACCCACACACATCAGCATCATGGGTTGTTTGTCTTCCTGACTACATGTGAAGCATGTCATTTTTTAGCCATTAGGAAAAATTAATACACTGACACATTTGTACAAGAAGCCAAGAGTAGAGCATAAAAATTATCCCCCACTTCATTCCATTTTATACTAAAAGCTTGTGAGATACATCACTGTGCCAGCAAACAGGCCTTTTTCCATCTACGACAAGCGAGGTAACTGGCACCTTACCTGTCGGATGAGGCTCTGGCAACATTCATCCATGCCACGGTCACATCTAGGCTGGACAATTGTAATGCCTTGTATGTTGGCCTTCCTATTTCTACGACCCGAAAGCTCCGTATTGTCCAGAATGCTGCAGCCAGGTTACTCACAAAAACGCCCATGAAATGCCATATAACACCAGTGCTGCGGCATCTACACTGGCTCCCAATTGAGTATCGTGGTTTGTATAAGATGCTGGTCCTGACCTTTAAAATTTTATATGGCCAGGGTCCATTGTATCTTAGAGACCGTCTCTCCTTCTACCATCATCGGAAGTCGCCACAACCATCCCAACGCGATTTGCTCTATTTACCAGGTCCTAGGGAAGTGCACTTGGAAAGCACCAGACGCAGGGCCTTCTCTGTTTCTGCCCCTGCCTTATGGAATTCCTTGCCTCCCTATTTGAGAGCCATGCGTGACTTAGGGCATTTTATCCTAGCACTTAAGACCTGGCTTTTTACTAGAGCATTTGAACCATGTTAATTTTAATATTTGTATGTAGGTGTTTTATCCTGTATAATTTCTGCAATGTAAATCGCCTGGAGCATCTCGGATGGAGGGCGATTAATAAGTAATTAAAGATGATGATGATTATTATTATGATATTGGGCTTTTATACAAAATGAAAGGGTATAGTACAGTGTTTCTCAACCTGGGAGTCGGGGCCCCTGGGGTGGGTTAACAAGGGGGTGTCAGAGGGTTCGCCAAAGACTATCAGAAAACACAGTATTTTCTGTTGGTCATGGGGTTCTGTGTGCCAAGTTTGGTTCAATTCCATTGTTGGTAGAGTTCGGAATGCTCTTTGATTGGAGGTGAACTATAAACCCCAGCAATTACAACTACCCAAATGTCAAGGTCTATTTTCCCCAAACTCCACCAATGTTCACATTTGGGCATATTGAGGATTCATGCCAGGTTTGGTCCTGATCTATCATTGTTTGAGTCCATAGTGCTCTATGGATGTAGGTGAACTACAACTTCAAAACTCAAAGTCAATGCCCACCAAACCCTTGCTGTTGGTCATGAGAGTTCTGTGTGCTAAGTTTGGTTCAATTCCATCATTGGTGGAGTTCAGAAGGCTCTTTGATTGTAGGTTAAATCCCATCAACTACAACTCCCAAATGACAAAATCAATCCCCAACCCTGAAGTCGATAGGGTCTACCCAGGAGGAGAGACCCTGCGGCCCCACCAAAGAGGGATCGCTACATTGGTGAGCAAAGAGAAGCCTAATTTTAAGTAATTTATTTTCCCTAAGTTTCCAAAAAGAATTTCACCAAAGTTGAAGAAAGTGCCACCAAGGGGGTCATGTTCTACTTCAACCCCACCAGTATTCAAATTTGGGTATAGCAGGTTTTTGTGCCAAAGTTGGTCCAGTGAATGGAAATACATCCTGCATATCAGATATTTACCTTACGATTGGTAACAGTTGCAAAATTACAATTATGAAGTAGCAATGAAAATAACATTATGGTTGGGGGTCACCACAACATGAGGAACTGTATTAAGGCATTGTGGCATTAAGAAGGCTGAAAAATTCTGGTATAGCATATGATCCCCAGATTTTATTGGTGGATGCTGGGGATTCATATTCCCTTTGGGAAGGTCTACCTACTGCTTCTCCATTTCCAAGTGGCAGCAGGGAGGTGGAGCTTGGTGAGGAGAAACTATTTGTTCTTGTTGTGTGCTTGAAATAATTTTCTGCAGTACTGTGACCATAAAACAAACCTAGATGGGGTTTTTCTGGGGCTGAAGGTACATGAAATGTCTAGAAAGTGGGTTTCTAGAGAACTGAACCCTGGTCTCCAGAGCCATAATCCAATGTCTAAACAACTACATCAAACTGGCTCTCACACCACGCTGGTCACAAAGCCACCATTTGACTCCTGCAACTTGACCCCAGCTGGGTTTTTCCATTGTATTGATTTAAACCACAGACTTTCCAGATGACATTTCACAATTGTAAAGAATCTGAATAGAGGAGATCATAAGTACCACAATCCATTTCATCCTTTTGTCAGCTGGTAAGGATGTTTTTATTTCAAAAGGCCTTTGGGAACTGGCTTAAGGTTTTACAAGGAAGGGGCTTTCATTAAAGTGTTGGGCCTTATTTTTTCCCCATTGCTTTTAAACGGAAAGGCTTTAAATAGTTTGAATTCTATTTTGAATGTCTTTGCCTACATATGTTTTTACTTGTATTTCCTTTTGTCAGCTAAGCCACCTTGATTCCAAGCTTTGGAGGAATGGCATAGTATAAATAAAGTATTACAGCACTATAACAGCAGAGTACAGTGCAATTCATTCCTTTCTATTATATTTCATTTTAAAGGTCTGCTTTGGAGTTTATAAGTAAAGGAACAGACCCTAAATTGTACACCCTTATTTCAACTCAAGAGACAGCTGCCAGATTCTTCTCCCGCCTTTGGTTAGTGGTTCGTACATTTTGGTATTAGCACCTGTAAGGAATGGAGTAGCTGCCCCAGCTTGTCCCGCGCGATGCCGTACTGCTCTGAGCGTATAGCCTGAAGGATCTCTTTGCGCGTTTGCAGCAGCCAGGCATTGCTGGAGAAGATGAGCTCTGAATCAAAGTGGAGCACCGGATCATCTCGAGTGGTATTCTCAAAGTCCATGGCGGCATTGGCATTGGCCACTTGGGCAATGGCCCCACGGAAGCGCTTTACAGATACCTTGGGGCCATAGAAAGCGGCAAAGATATCATCAGCCAAAAGAGTCTTGTCCTAGGAAAGGATAAGGGAGGAGAAGAAGAAAATAAGAAGAGCCAATCTGCCTTTGGACATGAAACATAGATAATTTTATTTATCTTATTTGATTTACTTATTTGTATCTGTATACTGCTCTTCTCAATGGCAATGATTCGATGCCTCAAAATACCATAAAACATTTAAAAACATTAACACATAATATAAAACCATAACAAGAATATTAAAACATAGATCATTTGCGTCTCTTAATAAAAAACATTGTCCCATCTCATCGTCCAATCGTTCCAATTCCTGTCTATTACCATGTATTTTCAAATGCTTGCTCAAACAACCAAGTCTTGACTCTTTTCCGAAATGTTAAGAGGGAGAGGGCCGATGTAATGTCCCCAGGAAGGGGGGAGTTTATAACCGAGGGGATAAACACAGAATTATGCTATGTGGGCTCAAAGCCAACTTTAAAAACTCTGGCATAGACACCAAGAACTGGAAAGCCCTGGCCCTTGAGAGCTCCAGCTGGAGGTCAGCTGTGACCAGCAGTGCTGTAGAATTTGAAGAGGCACGAATGGAGGGTGAAAGAGAGAAACATGCCAACCCCGACTGGGACCTGGAAACCAATGCCCTCACTACGGGATAACATGCAGGTCAAGAATAGGGCTCCACAGTCACCTAGGTACCCACCGCCAGTACAAGGATCTTGGAAAACAATCCTACTTGGACAACAAGCCATCGCCTAAGTAAGTAAGTAATACTGTGTAACACTTTTTTTGTTCCTGGGTTATAAGAACATGGAAAATGTTTTAAAAGGTAAAGTTTTCCCCTGACATTAAGTCATCGTGTCCAACTCTGGGGGGTGGTGCTCATCTCCATTTTTAAGCTGGAAAGCCGGCATTCTCCGTAGACAGCTCCAAGGTCATGTGGCCAACATGACTGCATGGAGAGCTGTTACCTTCTCGGCAGCTTCTCAGTGTCTATTGATCTAATCACATTTGCATGTTTTTGAAACTGCTAGGTTGGCAGAAGCTGGGGCTAACAATGGGAGCTCACCCCACTCCCTGGATTTGAACTGCCATCCTTTCGGTCAGCAAGTTCAGCAGCTCAGTGGTTTAACCCACTGCAAAATCTTTGTTTTTGCAGGACATCCTGCAGCAGACTTTGCTATAGTTTGTCAACCAATTCAATATAGTTTGTGGCAGCCACGAAAGCAAAGTTTCTGGAGGAAACAACTACTTTTAAAGCAAGTGCCACACAATTAAACAGAAAATAACATGTTCAAACCAGGAACACAAAATGTTTCAAATTTTGTAACACAGTGTTATTTTAGTGGGTTCTAGCTACCAAAATCCTCAAACAGACCATTTTCATTGGGAGATTCAGGGAGTTGTTGTGATAAGTGTAGCATTTCCACCTACTGGTTTGGAAGCAATCTTTGTGGGCCATCATTTAAACCAGGCAAACAATTCAACTGATACTTTTCCCTTGAAAAGTTGGAAAGGATTATTCCAGTGGCCTCACTAATAGGGTGAAGAGGGTGCTGAACACACCAGGCAACACCATTACAGCTTCTACTGTATTAAAAGTAACCACACCCTCCACACTTCATAGAATCATAGAATCAAAGAATCAAAGAGTTGGAAGAGACCTCATGGGCCATCCAGTCCAACCCCCTGCCAAGAAGCAGGAATATTGCATTCAAATCACCCCTGACAGATGGCCATCCAGCCTCTGCTTAAAATCCTCCAAAGAAGGAGCCTCCACCACACTCTGGGGCAGAGAGTTCCACTGCTGAACGGCTCTCACAGTCAGGAAGTTCTTCCTCATGTTCAGATGGCATCTCCTCTCTTGTAGTTTGAAGCCATTGTTCCGCGTCCTAGTCTCCAGGGAAGCAGAAAACAAGCTTGCTCCCTCCTCCCTGTGGCTTCCTCTCACATATTTATACATGGCTATCATGTCCCCTCTCAGCCTTCTCTTCTTCAGGCTAAACATGCCCAGCTCCTTAAGCCGCTCCTCATAGGGCTTGTTTCTCCAGACCCTTGATCATTTTAGTCGCCCTCCTCTGGACACATTCCAGCTTGTCAATATCTCTCTTGAATTGTGGTGCCCAGAATTGGACACAATATTCCAGATGTGGTCTAACCAAAGCAGCATAGAGGGGTAGCATTACTTCCTTAGATCTAGACACTATGCTCCTATTGATGCAGGCCAAAATCCCATTGGCTTTTTTTGCCGCCACATCACATTGTTGGCTCATGTTTAACTTGTTGTCCACGAGGACTCCAAGATCTTTTTCACAGGTACTGCTCTCGAGCCAGGCATCCCCCATTCTGTATCTTTGCATTTCGTTTTTTCCTTGCATTTGTCACTGTTGAACTTCATTTTGTTAGTTTTGGCCCATCTCTCTAATCTGTCAAGATCGTTTTGAATTCTGCTCCTGTCCTCTGGAGTATTGGCTATCCCTCCCAATTTGGTGTCGTCTGCAAACTTGATGATCATGCCTTCTAACCCTTCATCTAAGTCATTAATAAAGATGTTGAACAGGACCGGGCCCAGGACGGAACCCTGCGGCACTCCGCTCGTCACTTCTTTCCAAGATGAAGAGGAAGCATTAGTGAGCACCCTCTGGGTTCGTCCATTTAACCAATTACAGATCCACCTCACCGTAGTTTTGCCTAGCCCACACTGGACTAGTTTCCTTGCCAGAAGGTCATGGGGGACCTTGTCGAAGGCCTTACTGAAATCCAGGTACGCTACATCCACGGTATTTCCCGCATCTACCCAGCTTGTAACTCTATCGAAAAAAGAGATCAGATTAGTCTGGCATGACTTGTTTTTGATAAATCCGTGTTGACTATTAGCGATGACCGCATTTGTTTCTAAGTGTTTGCAGACCACTTCCTTAACAATCTTTTCCAGAATCTTGCCTGGTATTGACGGACGGTAGTTGTTTGGGTCATCCTTTTTTCCCTTCTTGAAGATTGGGACCACATTGGCCCTCCTCCAATCTGCTGGAACTTCTCCTGTTCTCCAAGAACTCTCAAAGATGGTTGCCAATGGTTCCGAAATGACTTCCGCTAGTTCCTTCAATACTCTTGGGTGTAGTTGATCTGGCCCTGGGGACTTGAACTCATTTAGAGCGGCCAGGTATTCCTGTACGACTTGTTTCCCAATTTGGAGTTGGATGTCCTCAAATCCCTCATCCACTCCGTCTTGCTGAGGTTGAAGATGACTTTCTTTTTGTGAGAAGACCGAGGCAAAGAAGGCATTAAGTAGTTCTGCCTTTTCCCTATCCCCTGTCAGCATTGCCCCATCTTCTCCTCGAAGAGGCCCTATCGCCTCCTTGTTTTTCCTTTTTCTACTGACATAAGAAAGAATCCCTTTTTATTGTTTTTAATGTCCCTGGCAAGCCTGAGCTCGTTTTGTGCTTTAGCCTTGCGGACCTTTTCCCTACAGGTGTTGGCTATTTGTTTGAATTCTTCTTTGGTGATTTCTCCCTTTTTCCAGTTCTTTTGCATGTCTCTTTTGTGTCTCAGCACAGTTAGAAGTTCTTTGGACATCCATTCTGGCTTCTTTGCACTTGTCCTATTTTTTCTCTTTTTGCAATTGTGCCTTGAGTCTTGAGTATTTCACTCTTGAGAAATTCCTATCCATCCGTAACTCCCTTGTCTTTTAGTATCTGTGTCCACGGAATGCTGATCAGTGTTTCCTTCATTTTTTGGAAATCAGCTCTCCTAAAGTCCAAAATGCGGGTTTGACTTGTCTTAGTTTCGGCCTTCCTTTGTACCTCAAATTGCAGGAGCACATGGTCACTTGCCCCTAAGGATCCTACCACTTCAACCGCATCGATCAGGTCCTCCGCATTTGTTAGGATGAGATCAAGAGTAGCCAAGCCCCTTGTTGCCTCTTCTACCTTCTGGACCATGAAATTGTCTGCAAGGCAAGCGAGGAATTTGTTGGACCTTGTACTCTTGGCCGAGTTTGTTTTCCAGCAAATATCGGGATAGTTGAAATCGCCCATGACTACTACATCTCTTCTCTGTGCCTGTTTGGTCAACTGTTGGCAGAAGACTTCATCAAGTTCTTCCTCCTGGCTTGGAGGTCTGTAGTAGACTCCTACAACGAGATCTTTTTGAGTCCCAGTTCCCTTGATTCTTATCCAGATGCTTTCAAGCTGGTTTCCTGGATTGCTGTCTTGCATCTCTTCTGCAGCATAAGAGTTTTTGACATATAAGGCTACTCCGCCTCCTCTCCCCTTTGTTCGGTTTCTGTGAAAGAGGTTATAGCCCTCCAAGTCTACATTCCAGCGATAGGAGTCATCCCACCAGGTTTCAGTGATGCCTATGATATCATATTTGTGGTGTTGCGCTAAAGGTTGGAGTTCATCTTGTTTATTTCCCATGCTCTGTGCATTAGTGTAAAGACATGTGAGCCCCTGAGATCTTCTCCCAAGCTGTTTAATTGGGA